ATGACACTTGATAACTACCTTTAACCTTTACATTCAATATTGCTTATCTCATGTGATCGTCAAAGCCACTAGGCCTCTGTTAAAATAATTTTTAAACTAAAAGCAATTTTAAAAAAGAGTCAAGAAGAGAAAAGAAGGGAACAATCCAACTTTTGAATAACAGATTAATATCAAACAATGGTGAGTACCAATATCACTCTGGGGTGTTTTGTTGTTTTGTGAGAGTGTTAGTTTCTTGTTATTTCAATATCTATAAATTTATATAACTAGTATTTACTCCACTTGATAACAATAAAACTAAGTAATTGGGCCTTTTACATTTTATTGCTAATTGCATCATGTATGAAATCAAATTGATAGTTGATACAGTATAAATCAATGACATTACATTAGTATTTAGAGAGTTGATTGTCTCCCTTACATTGACAATTCATACTAAACTAATCTCTCTGACATAATTACATTAGTGTTTAGAACGTTGATTGTCTCCCTTACATTGAAAATCATAGTAAACTGATCATCTCTGACATAAAACTAAGTACTAGATGACAACACAATGGCATAACTACACAATAGACTTCTAAATATCTTAATGATCAAACATGCGATAAGGAATCTTCCACGACAAGAAAATTGACCAATGACTTAAGGAAGTAACATATGCATTACAACACAAAATTGAGATGAAAGTACATGTCGACTCTCCTCCAACTGCCAATAATGCTACTGGGATTAGGGAGGGAGGGTTTGCAAAAATTAGATGGCCGCATGGCCTGCAAGTAGACAGTGCACAGTTTTCCCGGGTACAACAAAACTGGTTACGTCACTTAGAAATGCGTATGTAGTATGTACAAGCTTGCGTAATTAGCCATAGTTTCGTAAACATTAATTGATACCTAAATTATCTTTTTTACTCCACTTGATAACAATAAAACTAAGTAATTGGGCCTTCTACATTTTATTGCTAATTGCATCATGTATGAAATCAAATTGATAGTTGATACAGTATAAATCAATGACAGTACATTAGCATTTAGAGAGTTGATTGTCTCCCAAGGCCCAAAATAAGAAGTAAGTAGTTAGGTATCTGGAGTCCTTTGACATGGATTGGTAGCCTATGATGGGAGGAGTTTACCGAGCTCCCTTAACATTACAAACTTGTCATCAATACAATGATCAAAATAGCGGAGATAAGCATCACTTTTCCAGAACCCAAGGTCCTGTATGAGTTCTCCTGGTAGGCCAGCATGTAAGGGCCAGGTAGCCCCTCCCCGACGAAAGGAGTGTCCACTGAACTCACACGAGTTTGGGCATCCCGCAGTGGACAATATGTCGTGTAGGAAAGCAATAAATGTTTTATAACATAGTGCAGTGGACATAACATAGTGGAATGGCAAGCTCAAGGAGGAGAGGGGTATCGAGCGCGTGATCCCTCCCTGCATGATAATAAAGTAGCCTTTCCATGGCCCTTGCTGGGCAAAGCGGGTGTTTGCCTAGGCATGGTAAAGGAGTTTCCAGAGTTCGTTCGCAAAATTGCAGAGTTTTTGACCAGTTAAGGGAGATAATAAATCCACCACTGGAATGACATGTTATGTTCTGAATACACAAATCCCTGGTAACGTCAAATCTCCCATGTGCAAGGAAATTCCCAGGGTGCAATAGACCGAAGAAACCAATTAAACATCCCAACCAAAATGACATGTCCATAATCTGTGTAAGGTCAATTCTCTGGTAGATACACAACAGAAGATGTAGTGTAATAGGGGCAGCACCTTTTTGAGCATCACCCAGTTCTCGTTTAGCACCCTTTAATACATGCTGAGTAAGCCAATCACCTTTGAGAGGATCTGGTAGTCCCTCTGCACAATGTAGATGTTTGACAATTGTTAGATAGTTCCGAACAGTGCTGTAACGAAAGCCACGTATATCCACCATATACGCTATGTACAATGAGATGGTATACGGAGACACTGGAACAGGTGAAATGTCAAGTTTGTTGCAGAATCCCAAAAAACAAGCGAGCTGTACCTTGTATGTAGTTTTGGTGCTGTCAGCCCATCCTTGACCTTTTAGACGAGTCACTGCGATGGCCAGTCTGTGTTGAAGCACGTCCCCACCTGCAGTAAATAAAGGCAAGAGACATATGTCTAGAAAGTTCCTTGGTTGAAAAAGGCAACAAACCTGCACTTTCAAGTGGTAATAGATTATACATTTTTTCAAACATATTAGTTTCATGAATCCTAGATATTGCATCAGCCACAGTATTGTCACAACCTCTGATATATTTAGCAGTCACACTGAAGTCGAATGTGGCCTGAATCCAGAACAAATAGCGGAGATACATCATAATACATATATTGCGGGAACTTCCCTTGTTAATATAACTTTTGGCAGCTATATTGTCTGTGCATACTATCACTTTTTTGTTGGTAAATATTGGAGCCCAACGAATCAATGCTAAGACAATTGTGAGTGTTTCTTTGATATTAATGTGTTCATGAAGGATATGAGGCATTTCCACTTTCCAGTTAACATAGAAATAGTCCCCCTCATAGAAAGCACCTCCCCCTTCACTGCACGCATTCGTTGACAATGTTGTGATTTGCCGGTGGTCTAAAAACTTTGTGGTGCCATTAAATGAAGACATGAACTCTGACCACCATCGAAGATCATCATGGAAACTGCAATTTAAAATCACTTTGTCATTTTTGCGCCTTAGACTGTTTTTTAAATCTATTACACGACGTAAAAATGTACAACCTCCTTGTATCACTCGACATGCCCAGCTAAGGGAGCCTATTAATGATTCTAGCTGGTGCTTGCTAGCACGTTTCTTATGACTAAATGTCTCTATCAACTCACTGAACTTGGTAAGTTTATCGTTAGGCAGCGACAGGGTAAGGTCTACAGTGTTAACTAAAACACCAAGAAAAACAAGGCTCTGACATGGTCCCTCAACCTTACTCCAGTTAATCCGAAAGCCTAGTCGCCGCAGCACAGCGATGAGATTGTTCATTGTACTTAAACACTTGTCATAATTGTCTTCTATAATAAGAAAATCATCAATGTATACTATGACTGTCCCATGATACTTCTGCTTGATAATGCGACAAACTGATCTACTAATGGTTTGAAAGATGCATGGACTCTTAGAAGCTCCAAAAGGGAGTTTTGCATCAAAAATATATGATGGGGTGTTATCACCTGAAAACTGCCAAATGAATCCAGCAAGGGCATAATTACTTGGGTGGATATTGACAGATCTGTATGCACTTTTTAAATCAATTTTTGCCAAATAAGAGCCAGGCCGAATCAGAGGACATGCATCTCTCAAGTCCATGTAATTACAAGATGTGTCTGATGCGAAGTCATTTGAACATTCACCAATGGGCATACTGGCATCATGTATTAATCTAATGTCTCCATTCGGCTTTGGGACTGCCCCTAAAGCACTGACAATATTCTTAGGATTTGTACACATTACATAATTACCATGTACTAATTCATTTATAATTTGATCTTTAACCTTTTTTGAATTTAAAATAGCTGACTTATAATTAGAACATTTGATAAATTTGTTTTTATCAAACGACTGAAGCGGCGAGTCAACAATGTGAAAACCATCTTTGACACCATTTAAAATGAAGTTCCTATCTGGGTCATTGTCAGATAACAACTCCGACCATGCCAGATAGTTTAGGTCAGTTGAAGCATGTAAAGTTACGGGCCTCCGTTTTTTGGCGCATTACTTGGCGTGTTGTACACATGTTTTGAGGCTGAGTGGGATCCACCATAGCACACATAACAATTATGAGCCAAGCGCCATTCTGAACGGGTACACCTGTCTTGGTTGAATAACCTACAAATTTCACGTCCATCAGGAAGGAATTGGCCCCGCGAACGCCACTTGGATTTTCCGTGTGGTGTTGAGTGCTTGTCCGTGCTGTGTGTATGACTTGATCCGGTTTTGAGATCTTTGATGGCCTTAGTGGTCGAGTTGTCTGCCCTTGGTATAAGGTTAAATTCACGTAATTGTGGCTGTGGCGTATTCCATGGAAATTTGTCCCTGCCCTGTGTATCACGGTACTCGCAATCGTATAATAGTATACTGTGCCACACATAATTGGCAGAAAGTCGAAAAATGGTCTGCATGTAACGTAAATAGTCCGTTATGCTTGATGGGGCAATATCACCTTCTGACAACATGGCCGACAGAATTTCTAGACTAGCATAACCCCATTGTTCTAGAGTGACCTCGCCAAGTGACAACTTTTTTAGATGTATCGAGACGAACTTTCACACCATTGCCAATATCAACATCATTATCATTAATAAGTTCATTTGCACCAGCCCACACAAAGTCTTGAATCTTTTTAACTTTTGGTTTCGTACCTTGATTGGTGGCCTGTTGTGGTGTGTTGGTGATCACTGGCGGGCCAGCCCTGGCTGTAGGTCTGTCGGCATGGAGCCTGCCCAACTCTGTCGTTAAGTCAGTCAGACGTTTTTCCAATTTGGCTCTCTGCAAGTCCAATTCCAGCTTTTGGATGCGCCGTTGAAGTTCCTCAATCGGGGATGCATTTTGCGATCCAGTGTTCTGTTGGCTGGTGTTCGAGACTTCTTCAGTCTCCAGACGCGCAGAGAACCTCCTCGGTGTAGTCGACGGAGGCGAGCCCGAGGCGGTGTTGACAGGAGAAAGACTGCTCAGGTCAAAGTCTGTCGGTGTACGGTCTTTTAAGCTTCTCAAATACTCCCCTATTAACACCCCTGCATTTGATCGGCGTGGACGTTCTGCCTGCGTCATAGCAGTAATGCCGTAAAATTAGATGGCCGCATGGCCTGCAAGTAGACAGTGCACAGTTTTCCTGGGTACAACAAAACTGGTTACGTCACTTAGAAATGCGTATGTAGTATGTACAAGCTTGCGTAATTAGCCATAGTTTCGTAAACATTAATTGATACCTAAATTATCTTTATTTTTGTTCTTTCAGATTTCTCAGATCATGGCAACACCCATCAGTCAAACCGCTTTCCGTCCTAAAGGCCAGTCCACCTGTAGTGACCACAAAGGGAGGTGCTTGGATCTTTACTGTGAGAAATGTGATCAACTCATCTGCCTTACATGTTTGTCAACAACTCACAGAAGTCACCCTGTTTGTGAACTCAGTGAAATTACTCCTCAAAAGAAACAAGAAATTACAAACTTTATCAACAAAACAGAACAAAATGACCTGGTACAAGTCAGGGAATATATAACTTCTGCTGATTCATTACTCAAAGACAATACCAGTCATTTTGAGAAACTTTCACAGCAACTAAAAAATCAAACAGATCAACTAAAACATGAACTCGATCTATTTACAGCACAGACACTCTCAGTTTATAAACAGATGGAAGAGGACAACACCAGGATGATACAGAAATACAAACAAGAACTGGAGATGTACGACATACAGCTGAAACAACAACTACAGGAATGTAAGGTGACTCTACAACATGGTTCTCACCTGGACATCTATGACACAGAAATACATTCCTCATTACATCTCCCTGTCAAACCTGTCCTGGGTACGGTCATCTTCACACCTAACACAAATCCACAACATCATCTACAACAGGCCGTAGGGATGATTATCACCTCAGGTCAAACAACTGACCAGGATCGGTCAGTCTCAGTATCACATGACCAGGGACAATCCTCTAAACAACAACAAACAGAAGTAAAAGGGAAGAAAGCAGTGATAAGTAAAAAACTACTGTCAGAGACCAAAGTGGTGAAGGAGTGGGAGTCTCCATGTTACATTGGGTCTATATGTCCCACCACTGATGGTCAGGTGTGGACCAGTGATTACAGAGATACATTAACTCTCCTTAACAGGGAGGGTGAAGTAGTACAGGTCACACACACAGCTGTCATCAATGACATCAGTCTATCACCCACAACACACACACTGTGGGTCTGTGACAGACAAAACAACATCATGGAGCTGGTATCAGGACGACTTACAAACAAATTCAGAACCAAGGAGAGACCCCAGTGTATATGTGTTACAGCCAGTAACCATATCATTGTGGGGATGGAGAAACACATCTGTAAATTTACTACACAAGGTCAAATGGTACTCACTACAATGACTGTAGGGACTGGGAAACCATTAGTGTATACACCATGCAGGATGTCAGAGTGTCCAGTAACTCACAATGTCACAGTGATTGATTTCAGCAGTAAAAGTGAGGGTGGTGATGGAAACAGACGTGTTGTTGTCATGGATACTGACTTCCAGGAAGTGTTTGTATATAGAGGTGACATCCCCAGTACATATAAACAAACACCACAAACAGGACGTGTAACATTTGACCCCTGGGATGTGGTGTATGACAGTGTGTGGAACCTCATCATAGGGGAGAGTTACAACTGTAGTGTCCTACTCCTCAGTGGAGATGGTGAGTTCCTCAGGATCATATACACAGACAGAGAGTGGACAAGGGCTGTAGGTATAGACAGGGAGGATGTTCTGTGGGTAGGGTTTTGGGGTTACAATGTAAAACTACTACAGTACAGTGTGTAACAGTACTACTACAGTACAGTGTGTGACAGTACTACTACAGTACAGTGTGTAACAGTACTACTACAGTACGGTGTGTGACAATACTACTACAGTACAGTGTGTGACAGTACTACTACAGTACAGTGTGTGACAGTACTACTACAGTACAGTGTGTAACAGTACTACTACAGTACAGTGTGTGACAGTACTACTACAGTACAGTGTGTGACAGTACTACTACAGTACAGTGTGTGACAGTACTACTACAGTACAGTGTGTGACAGTACTACTACAGTACGGTGTGTGACAGTACTACTACAGTACGGTGTGTGACAGTACTACTACAGTACAGTGTGTGACAGTACTACTACAGTACGGTGTGTGACAGTACTACTACAGTACGGTGTAACAGTACTACTACAGTACGGTGTGTAACAGTACTACTACAGTACGGTGTGTGACAGTACTACTACACTACAGTGTGTGACAGTACTACTACAGTACAGTGTGTGACAGTACTACTACAGTACAGTGTGTGACAGTACTACTACAGTACGGTGTGTGACAGTACTACTACAGTACGGTGTGTAACAGTACTACTACAGTACGGTGTGTAACAGTACTACTACAGTACGGTGTGTAACAGTACTACTACAGTACGGTGTGTTACAGTACTACTACAGTACGGTGTGTTACAGTACTACTACACTACAGTGTGTGACAGAACTACTACAGTACAGTGTGTAACAGTACTACTACAGTACAGTGTGTTACAGTACTACTACAGTACAGTGTGTAACAGTACTACTACAGTACGGTGTGTTACAGTACTACTACAGTACAGCAGTGTATAACAGTACTACTACAGTACAGTGTGTAACAGTACTACTACAGTACAGCAGTGTATAACAGTACTACTACAGTACAGTGTGTAACAGTACTACAACAGTATAGTGTGTAACAGTACTACAACAGTACAGTTTGTGACAGTACTACAACAGTATAGTGTGTAACAGTACTACTACAGTACAGTGTGTGACAGTACTACTACAGTACAGTGTGTGACAGTACTACAACAGTATAGTGTGTAACAGTACTACTACAGTACGGTGTGTAACAGTACTACAACAGTACAGTGTGTAACAGTACTACTACAGTACAGTGTGTTACAGTACTACTACACTACAGTGTGTAACAGTGCTACTACAGTACAGTGTGTAACAGTACTACTACAGTACAGTGTGTAACAGAACTACTACAGTACAGCAGTGGGTAACAGTACTACTACAGTACAGTGTGTGACAGTACTACTACAGTACAGTGTGTAACAGTACTACAACAGTACAGTGTGTAACAGTATTACAACAGTACAGTGTGTAACAATACTACTATAGTACAGCAGTGTGTAACAGTACTACTACAGTACAGCAGTGTGTAACAGAACTAAACAGATATACCTTATTCTAGAGAGTTACCATGGTAACAAACTTCGTAAATAATATTTACATGTGACAAAAACAATACTGTTTAAATGAATGATGTTCGTCAGCAAAAAGTATTGGTGTCATCACCCACATCGTTCCCTTTGTAAACTACATCTGTATGTAAAATCAGTATAAAGTTATGTTGTGTATTTAGAGGTGACCAATGTCTTATAATGTACATGTATACTGTATCCTTATCTCTGTATAGTGTGTATTGTATATTTGCCACTTAATCAACAGTACAACTTCCAAATTCAGCCTTTATACCAAGCACTTCAGACTCCTGGAATACTCTACCTATCGATACTAAGTCATCTGATTCTATCAAACAATTCAAAACTCTTCTACCTCATCTTACTATCCCTACAAATATTAAATCATTTCTAGAGTACGGGACTAGAAAAGTAAATATAATACATTGCCAACTCCGCAACAGCAGCAGCTCTCTAAATTATGATCTTTACAAAGCACGTCTTCGACCCAATTCTTCATGCAGTTGCGGACATCATTCTGAAGACTCTAGTCATTACTTGCTTTTCTGTAACAACTTTGATCAATTACGTAATATAATGCTTCAGTTTATTACTGGTATAACAAAATAAATGTGGAACACCTATTTGGGGACGAAAGTCTCGATACTGATCAAAATATTGTCATCTGTAGTCTGTAGGTTTGTACAATCATTTATTTATAGTTCTAAACGTTTTAACATTTAATCATCGATAACCAGGACACCTAGTATGTTTATACTACCCCTTCTCCACACCCCTTCCATTCATCCAGTTTCATCCTCCCAACACCAACGGGTATTGTTTTATTTATATAATTATAATGTTTATTTAATACATACTTTCGTAAAATATTCATAGTTTACCAAGATAACGACTGTGGTTTCCTAATCTTGTCAGCAAATCATGTAGAGTACGGCATCGTAGAAGGACAAGGAGTGATCCAGGAGGACGACAACTAAAGCACGGAATGTGACTGAACCTTTTTTTTAAAAGTAGAACACAATGTCTGTACAGTAAAGAGGTAGTTCTTTGCCTACTGGATTAGGAAATGACAGTCACCAAATCCACAGAATTACTCGTCGGTACATAGAATACTTAGGGATCTGACGATACAGAATGCTTGAATGCTCAAGTATTTACGCATTTGACGATCGAGAAGATGAGATCATCTGTCGGTCCGGTGTACATGTCCCATATTTTCAATGTGTGTCACAAATATCATTTCGTGGATTCTTTTTAAAAGCAAAAAGCAAACACAGAATTTGACACAATCTCGCCGATGATCGTTGATCGGTTTTCTGACTGGTTACGATGTATCAAATGTATTTTGTGATCTCACATGAAATATGAATAAATAAATAAAAAACCATTTACAGATTTTAAAAAGATGTGTTAGATGTGAGATACCAGGTTGTTTGAGAATATTATTACTTTTTCATTACCTGTATCATATTGAGATTTTTTTCTAGTAAATCTTGTTCCCCGGTGTGACATAAGATCAGGAGACACCAATAACTGATACGTTAAATCACTGAAATTCCCTGATGTGACACAATATCAGAATACCAATAGTTTATACAAGTTCCCGTGGTTCCCTGGTGTCAGGTATTAGTATAATACCGCTAGATATCTCTACACGTCCCTGTGTTTCTTCGGTGTCATATATCATAATACTGCTAGATATCTCTACACGTCCCTGTGTTTCTCCGGTGTCATATATCATAATACCGCAGATGTCTCCGCAAGTTCCTGTGATTCCCTGATGACACTATTGTGTAGTAACCAACAGTGGTGACACTAATGTGTAAGTTACTATCTGTGTTGACACTAATGTGTAGTTACTATCTGTGTTGACACTAATGTGTAGTTACTATCTGTGATGACACTTCTGTGTAGTAACCATCAGTGGTGATACTATTTTGTAGTAACCATCAGTGGTGACACTATTGTGCAGTAACCATCAGTGGTGACATTATTGTGTAGTGACCATCAGTGGTGACATTATTGTGTAGTAACCATCAGTGGTGACATTATTGTGTAGTAACCATCAGTGGTGACACTATTGTGTAGTAACCATCAGTGGTGACATTATTGTGTTTTTACGATCAGTGGTAAAACTATTGTGTAGTGACCATCAGTGGTGACACTATTGTGTAGTGACCGTCAGTGGTGACATTATTGTGTAGTGACCATCTGTGGTGACATTATTGTGTAGTAACCGTCACTGGTCACACTATTGTGTAGTTACTATCTGTGTTGACACTAATGTGTAAGTTACTATCTGTGTTGACACTAATGTGTAGTTACTATCTGTGATGACACTTCTGTGTAGTAACAATCAGTGGTGACACTATTGTGTTGTAACCATCACTGGAGATACTATTGTGTAGTAACCTTGAGTGGTGACACTATTGTGTAGTAACCATCAGTGGTGACACTATTGTGTAGTTACTATTTGTGTTGACACTAATGTGTCATTTACTATCTGTGATGACACTTCTGTGTAGTAAGCATCAGTGGTGCCACTATTATGTAGTAACCATCAGATGTGACATTATTGTGTAGTAACCATCACTGGTGACAATATTGTGTAGTAACAATCAGTGGTGACACTATTGCATAGTTACTATAGGTGTTGACACTGTTGTGTAGTAACCAACAGTGGTGACACTAATGTGTAAATTACTATCTGTGTTGACACTAATGTGTAGTTACCATCAGTGGAGACACTATTGTGTAGTAACCATCAGTGGTGACACTATTGTGAAGTAACCATCAGTGGTGACACTATTGTGTAGTAACCATCAGTGGTGACACTATTGTGTAGTAACCATCAGTGGTGACACTTTTGTGTAGTAACCATCAGTGGTGACACTATTGTGTAGTAACCATCAGTGGTGACACTATTGTGTAGTAACCATCAGTGGTGACACTATTGTGTAGTAACCATCAGTGGTGACACTATTGTATAATAGCAATGAGTGGTGACACCATTGTGAAGTGACCGTCAGTGGTGACACTATTGTTTAGTAACCATCAGTGGTGACACTATTGTGTAGTAACCATCAGTGGTGATACTTTCATGTAGTAACCATCAGTGTTGACACTATTGTACAGTAACCATCAGTGGTGACACTATTGTGTAGTAACCATCAGTGGTGACACTATTGTTTAGTAACCATCAGTGGTGACACTATTGTGTAGTAACCATCAGTGGTGACACTATTGTGTAGTAACCATCAGTGGTGACACTATTGTATAGTAACCATCAGTGGTGACACTATTGTGTAGTAACCATCAGTGGTGACACTATTGTATAGTAACCATCAGTGGTGACGTTATTGTATAGTAACCATCAGTGGTGACACTATGGTGTAGTAACCATCAGTGGTGACACTATTGTGTAGTAACCATCAGTGGTGACACTATCTGTTTACAGAAAAAAGGGCCATTGACAGGTATGACGATATTACTGAAAAAGAGAGAGAGAGAGAGAGAGAGAGATGTTTTTAAAAATAAATTGGTAGATTAATATGGGGTACAACCATATTTCATAATATCTTGCATTGGGGACCAAAAACAATCCTGTTTCCGGTAATCCTACCTATGAGTGTTGATATTGTTGGATAATTTCAACCATTTTGATTTTCAATCAACATTTACTTAAATCTGACATTGTGACCAATGCTAGTAAAACAAACCATTAACTCTAGACTATTTCAGGTTTTTTTATAAACATAATGATTAAGGAGAAAATGAGATGTTTTTTGGTTACAAACACAGTATATGTGTAATTGGACTATTTTCCTTTCAACAGAAGTTTTTACAGGTAAAATTTTATATAACTATTATTATTATTTTGCCACAGGAAGAGCTGCAACAGTTTAGAATTTTAGTAAATTTTTATCCAAAAAGAAAATATGTTGTCAGTAGGTGGTGTTGTGGCCCGCTAAAATCAAAAGAGTTACCTCCCTTCGTCCAAAACACTTCATATATAAGATCCAATCCATCACATGCAAATCAAACACTTTTATTGGAGCTGACTTTCAACAATTCTTTGAAATTTTGAAAACATTTCAATCGAGTGAAGTCAGCGAATATGTAAAATGTACTACTCTCTGAAACAATTTTAAGTTCAAAACAAAAAAAAGACGGGTGGTGGAATTGGATATTTGACCCAGAACAATATCAAAACATTAAAACAGGATTTATTTACTTAAGATATGTTGACTGACCACACTAACATTCCTTGTCTCCCATAATAATAGTACCCGATATAGCTACATATGACACAGGTGTAGGCGTTTAAAAAATTTTATGACACTGAAGCAGTCTTGAACTCACCTAGTCCAAAAGACCTGCGGATTTATGCAATACCACGACGTCCATCCTCTGTAAACTTTTAATCGCTTTAAATCACAACAAGTCATAAACAACAAATCTGATTTTGAAATCCTACTCCTCCTGTAGGATTGGTTGGATTTTGACCAAATTTGATCTGAGGCATCCTTGGATAATGAAGAGTAATGTTGTATAAACAATGGGTCACAGCCCTCCGGCGCTCAATTGATTGAAATAGAGCAAATTCTTTTAATCATACTCTTGCAGTAGGATTTTCACAAAGTGTGGTATGAATAATTGTTTGATGAAGGTGGACAGTTTTGCATTCTTTGTTGAAAGGAATCAGTTTTGTATAAACATTACATTGTAGCCCTCTCCAGCAGGAGGGTTTGGGGCTCAATAGAGGAAGTAGAGGAAATTATTTAAAATCCTTCTATAGATAAGCTAGGATGCTATTCCAATTTTGTATGAGGCATCCTTGATTGAAGAATCAATTCTCTATGAAAGGCGCATTCTGGCCCGAGGGGCTGGAGAAGAGGGGCCCAATATGTGGAAACAGAGCTAATTATTTAAAATCCTCTTTCTCCTGTTAAAATGTCAGGATTCTTTCCCACTGTTGTCTGAAATGTTGCAAGCAGTGATTAATTTCTGTTAATATTGGTTAATTCTATTGAGTAACCATGACAACAGATAAAGAAGTACAATGACTATATGTAACATAAATATTTATTACATTGTGTTTATTGGTAACCAGAGTAATAACTTATTGTGTACAATGTTTTGTAGGGATAAAGTAAGAAGTATAACATATACTGTCTGTGAGACATGAATGCCCCCACTCTATGTATATAGGTATCATTGTTTGATGAACTTGTGAAAAGTTGTCATATGTGACCTTTTGACCCTTGACCCTATCAGGATATAGGTTAGAAGTTGTGATAATATAATTGGATAAATATGAAGGATTTCAAGAAATGAGGTTGATGTCTGAGGACGTTTCAGGAGGAGACGAGCAGTCTGGGGTAACATTATACACGTATTCTTCAAACCCTACACACATATAATGATGTGGGTGTAAAATGTGGGGATTTTTCAGTTGTTCTGTTAGACAGCTGGTGATAGAAAATACCCCCAACTAAACAGTTCTGATCTCATCTGAGATGACTTAACAAAGTTTGTAAATAAGTTATTACAATAGTCTCTATTTGTCAAAAATCATTGTGATTTCTTAATAAACTGATAGCTCATGAACGTTTTTCACAAAAATAAATCAAACATATAAAAGTTTACTGATTATTTTATTTCTGTGTTAAAATCGTCATCATTTATATATACTTTTTTTTCCCGTTCATATTACTTATATGTGTTATCAAGTCGTCAAAATATGTGGATTATAAACAAGACAGGAGAATGCTGGTACAACACACTCTACAATAATTAACAGAATCTTACCTTTCCTTGAAAGACAAAGAAATGTCCAACCCAAGGTTATGATTATTTATGTCCCATCATACTCTTTTATTTACAAATAGCAGATGTCCTGTGTAAAAGAAGTGGAGCCCCTAAAAGGAGCATATCTCCTAGGGGTGACAGAGGAATCATCTTCTAGGGGTAACAGAGAAATCATCTCCTAGGGGTGACAGAGAAATCATCTCCTGGGGTAACAGAGGAATCATCTCCTAGGGGTAAAAGAGAAATCATCTCCTAGGGGTAACAGAGAAATCATCTCCTAGGGGTAACAGAGAAATCATCTCCTAGGGGTAACAGAGAAATCATCTCCTAGCGGTGACAGAGAAATCATCTCCTAGGGGTAACAGAGAAATCATCTCCTAGGGGTAACAGAGAAATCCTCTAGGGGTAACAGAGAAATCCTCTCCTAGGGGTGACAGAGGAATCATCTCCTAGGGGTGACAGAGGAATCATCTCCTAGGGGTAACAGAGAAATCATCTCCTAGTGGTGACAGAGGAATCATCACCTAGAGGTGACAGAGGAATCATCTCCTAGGGGTGACAGAGGAATTATCACCTAGAGGTGACAGAGGAATCATCTCCTAGGGGTAACAGAGAAATCATCTCCTAGGGGTAACAGAGAAATCATCTCCTAGGGGTGACAGCGAAATCATCTCCTAGGGGTGACAGAGGAATCATCTCCTAGGGGTGACAGAGAAATCATCTCCTAGGGGTAACAGAGAAATCATCTCCTAGGGGTAACAGAGAAATCATCTCCTAGGGGTAACAGAGAAATCATCTCCTAGGGGTAACAGAGAAATCATCTCCTAGCGGTGACAGAGAAATCATCTCCTAGGGGTAACAGAGAAATCATCTCCTAGGGGTGACAGAGGAATCATCTCCTAGGGGTGACAGAGAAATCATCTCCTAGGGGTAACAGAGAAATCATCTCCTAGGGGTGACAGCGAAATCATCTCCTAGGGGTGACAGAGGAATCATCTCCTAGGGGTGACAGAGAAGTCATCTCCTAGGGGTAACAGAGAAATCATCTCCTAGGGGTGACAGAGGAATCATCTCCTAGGGGTAACAGAGAAGTCATCTCCTAGGGGTAACAGAGAAATCATCTCCTAGGGGTAACAGAGAAATCATCTCCTAGGGGTAACAGAGAAATCATCTCCTAGGGGTGACAGAGGAATCATCTCCTAGGGGTGACAGAGGAATCATCTCCTAGGGGTAACAGAGAAATCATCTCCTAGGGGTAACAGAAAAATCATCTCCTAGGGGTGACAGAGAAATCATCTCCTAGGGGTAACAGAGGAATCATCTCCTAGGGGTAACAGAGGAATCATTTACTAGGGGTTACAGAGAAATCCTCTCCTAGGGGTGACAGAGGAATCATCTCCTAGAGGTAACAGAGAAATCATCTCCTAGGGGTAACAGAGGAATCATCTCCTAGGGGTGACAGAGGAATCATCTCCTAGGGGTAACAGAGAAATCATCTCCTAGGGGTGACAGAGGAATTATCACCTAGAGGTGACAGAGGAATCATCTCCTAGGGGTGACAGAGGAATTATCACCTAGAGGTGACAGAGGAATCATCTCCTAGGGGTAACAGAGAAATCATCTCCTAGGGGTGACAGAGGAATCATCTCCTAGGGGTGACAGAGAAATCATCTACTAGGGGTTACAGAGAAATCCTCTCCTAGGGGTGACAGAGGAATCATCTCCTAGGGGTAACAGAAGAATCATCTCCTAGGGGTGACAGAGGAATCCTCTCCTAGGGGTGACAGAGGAATCATCTCCTAGGGGTGACAGAGGAATCATCTCCTAGGGGTGACAGAGAAATCATCTCCTAGGGGTAACAGAGAAATCATCCCTTAGGGGTGACAGAGGAATCATTTCCTAGACGTGACAGAGAAATCATCTCCTAGGGGTGACACATAAATAATCTCCTCGGGGTAACAGAGAATTCATCTACTAGGGGTGACAGAGTTTGATTCCCTAGGGGTGACAGAGAAATCATCTCCTAGGGACAACAGAGAAATCATCTCCTAGGGGTGACAGAGAAATATTGTCCTTGAAGTGACGTAGAAATCAGACCCTAACGGTAACAGAGAAATCTTGAATAGGCAAAGCCGGTGAGCAATCTGTGATGATAGAATCCAGAGTTCAATGTTACTATAATGAGTCTATAGGTGACAAAATATTAAAAGTTATAAAATGCCAATAAAGTTGTCTTCTTGGTATTGTATTGACACACACAAAAAGGTTGACTTCTGTTCAACTCCTAAGTTGTAAATTAATAATTTCTCGATTCTGTTCCATTTCCCTTCTAATCTAAACAAGAATATTGAATTAAGAATACAACGTAGCTTGATGTAGAACAAGAAAAACATCAATGCTTTATATATATATATATATATCAGTGATTTATGTAATTGTTACTGTATATTGATTTATGGGTTATACAAAATACTTTCAAGGGGAGACCACTCTCTGCACAAGTTATTTTTTAAGGTAATTATATCATTTATCTGATGTATTTCCTTAACAATCCCTATAATTAATGCTGTAGGTAAGTTTGATTTCGTTGACTGATTTTTCTCTTCGTTTTATGTAAGTAGGCCAATTATAAGTAATCAACATGTAACGTGTGTCATACTTCAACAACAGATTAACAATACGAATAGAATCATACAGATATCCAACAGAACACTTTTCACTTTTGAACATCAACCATGTTTAAGTGTCATTAAAGTGGTAACTGTTTAAATGAAATGTCCAAATGTGAAAGGGGAGATAACTCTTGAAAAAATTTAGATCCACAATAGTCTTAAAATAAACAAAAATGTTATACCAGTTCATGTTAGAATATAGGTTATTCAATTCAGTTTTATATTCAATTTTACTGAAAAAAGATGACACCACTGAATCATCATAAATATTAATTTGAACATAAACCAATCATTTAAATTTTAGAATTAGAACATAATGATTACCAGGTAACAATGTAAATTATATACATATTATATATATGTTACTTTGGTGAGTTACCATGGTAACTAACACTGTAATTAATATTTACATATCACAAAAAATCAATACCATTCAAATATAAAATGTCCAATGGCTGAATCCAAAAGTAATTAAGCATATATGTGTCAAAATTCACATCAACAGACACACCCATTTTGACAGTTCATTAATATGTTGTATTCCAGACGTTTGTCTGCTGGCACTATTTAGATAAAATTCCTGATTAGACAGATCTTAGAACATCACAGTGTCTAATTGTCACGTCCTTGGTAGACAATATTTAGACAATTTTTCACGACTAATTAGATCTTCACACATCACAGTGTCTAATTGTCACGTCCTTGGTAGAACACCACTTAACTGTAACATCCTTCGCTCTGAAAAATACATGAATGTGTGTAAAAGATAAAAGTTAAAATTTACTTCAGCAAACACATGTTTGATACCTGTTGAATTAAAGTTCATCAAAGGAAATTAACTTATTGAAAGTTAAAGCATTATCAAACATTTTTATTTAAAGTAATGATTTAAACATTTATTGTACATTTACCACCTAATCAGTAATAAAACATACACTGGGATTAAATTATCCTTTTTTCATGAAATTATATCCACTAGAGGACAACATGTGTCAGATTTAACAGAATTTCAGAATACTCGGGATCTGATAAGACAGATTTTTGGAATATGCAGATTTAACAGGATGTCAAAATACCCAGGGGTCAGATTCAACAGGAGGTCAGAATACTCAGGGGTCAGATTAAACAGGAGGTCAGAATACTCAGGGGTCAGATTAAACAGGAGGTCAGAATACTCAGGGGTCAGATTAAACAGGAGGTCAGAATACTCAGGGGTCAGATTAAACAGGAGGTCAGAATACTTATGGGTCAGATTCAACAGGAGGTCAGAATACTTATGGTCCGATTAAACAGGAGGTCAGAATACTCAGGGGTCAGATTAAACAGGAGGTCAGAATACTTATGGGTCAGATTAAACAGGTCAGATTACTTATGGATCAGATTAAACAGGAGGTCAGAATACTCAGGGGTCAGATTCAACAGGAGGTCAGAATACTTATGGGTCAGATTCAACAAGAGGTCAGAATACTCAGGGGTCAGATTAAACAGGAGGTCAGAATACTCAGGGGTTAGATTACCAGGAGGTCAGAATACTCAGGGGTCAGATTAAACAGGAGGTCAGAATACTCAGGGGTTAGATTATCAGGAGGTCAGAATACTCAGGGGTCAGATTAACAGGAGGTCAGAATACTTATGGTCAGATTAAACAGGAGGTCAGAATACTTATGGGTCAGATTCAACAGGAGGTCAGAATACTTATGGTCAGATTAAACAGGAGGTCAGAATACTCAGGGGTCAGATTAACAGAAGGTCAGAATACTCAGGGGTCAGATTCAACAGGAGGTCAGAATACTTATGGGTCAGATTAAACAGGAGGTCAGAATACTCAGGGGTCAGATTAAACAGGAGGTCAGAATACTTATGGGTCAGATTCAACAGGAGGTCAGAATACTTATGGTCAGATTAAACAGGAGGTCAGAATACTCAGGGGTCAGATTAAACAGGAGGTCAGAATACTTATGGGTCAGATTAAACAGGTCAGATTACTTATGGATCAGATTAAACAGGAGGTCAGAATACTCAGGGGTCAGATTCAACAGGAGGTCAGAATACTTATGGGTCAGATTCAACAAGAGGTCAGAATACTCAGGGGTCAGATTAAACAGGAGGTCAGAATACTCAGGGGTTAGATTACCAGGAGGTCAGAATACTCAGGGGTCAGATTAAACAGGAGGTCAGAATACTCAGGGGTTAGATTACCAGGAGGTCAGAATACTCAGGGGTCAGATTAACAGGAGGTCAGAATACTTATGGTCAGATTAAAAAGGAGGTCAGAATACTTATGGGTCAGATTCAAGGAGGTCAGAATACTTATGGTCAGATTAAACAGGAGGTCAGAATACTCAGGGGTCAGATTAACAGAAGGTCAGAATACTCAGGGGTCAGATTCAACAGGAGGTCAGAATACTTATGGGTCAGATTAAACAGGAGGTCAGAATACTCAGGGGTCAGATTCAACAGGAGGTCAGAATATTTATGGTCAGATTTAACAGGAGGTCAGAATACTTATGGGTCAGATTCAACAGGAGGTCAGAATACTTATGGTCAGATTAAACAGGAGGTCAGAATACTCAGGGGTCAGATTAACAGAAGGTCAGAATACTCAGGGGTCAGATTAAACAGGAGGTCAGAATACTTATGGTCAGATTAAACAGGAGGTCAGAATACTCAGGGGTCAGATTAACTGGAGGTCAGAATACTCAGGGGTCAGATTAACAGGAGGTCAGAATACTTATGGGTCAGATTCAACAAGAGGTCAGAATACTCAGGGGTCAGATTAAACAGGAGGTCAGAATACTCAGGGGTCAGATTAAACAGGAGGTCAGAATACTCAGGGGTCAGATTAAACAGGTCAGAATACTCAGGGGTCAGATTAGAGAGAAAGTTTATTATTGAAGACCAGATATGATTTACTTTTATTCTTGTGCTTTAATCAGTAAATCTTTCAAGACTGAGATAAAGAAACATTCTTGTTCAACGTGATATTATCCTTCCATAAACTGAGCGGGGAATGAAATGTCATTTTGTTGAACATACTGTACAGCCAGTTACCTATGTAGGGATGATATTTTCACTATTTCCCAGTACACTTATGCGATTGCATAAAACTGATCCATGAACTAATCAGGCATGTGTACAATAAGGTGTTATTTTACACACAAATTGTTTCTTTGCAATTTTCATTTCTTTAAAAAGCAAAACATGAAAACTCAAACCCCTGAACATTACCAGGTATACGTTAAATGTGTGATTGGAAATGATGACTCATGAGAATAAGGAAATAAAACCTTTGATCTGTTATAGTCTGTACACTTCATAAAGTGTACACTTAAAGTCTTTGTTAACACAAACCTGATGTTTCTTGCGTTCTACAAAATCAGCCAGACGACTCGTAGAGAGAGGTTTAGGTCTGAGTGGAGATGATCGAGAGATAGCAAGTTTCCCAATCCAAGCGCTGTCCATACATGTATGAGGAGTCGGTCGTTTACTGTTGGTAAACACATCATACTTATGTAGATATGTACTACAGTAGGGAATCATAGAGTGGTGTTGTAGATGACATTACAATAATTATAAGCATAATTTACCAGGGTATCAATTTTAGCTGACATAATTTATCAGGATAGCAATTTTAGCTGACATATTTTATCAGGATAGCAATTTTAGCTGACATATTTTATCAGGATAGCAATTTTAGCTGACATAATTTATCAGGATATCAATTTTAGCTGACATAATTTATCAGGATATCAATTTTAGCTGACATAATTTATCAGGATATCAATTTTAGCTGACATAATTTATCAGGATATCAATTTTAGCTGACATAATTTATCAGGATAGCAATTTTAGCTGACATAATTTATCAGGATATCAATTTTAGCTGACATAATTTATCAGTATAGCAATTTTAGCTGACATATTTTATCAGGATAGCAATTTTAACTGACATAATTTATCAGGATATCAATTTTAGCTGACATAATTTATCAGGATAGCAATTTTAGCTGACATAATTTATCAGGATATCAATTTTAGCTGACATAATTTATCAGGATATCAATTTTAGCTGACATAATTTATCAGGATATCAATTTTAGCTGACATAATTTATCAGGATATCAATTTTAGCTGACATATTTTATCAGGATAGCAATTTTAACTGACATAATTTATCAGGATATCAATTTTAGCTGACATAATTTATCAGGATATCAATTTTAGCTGATATAATTTATCAGGATAGCAATTTTAGCTGACATAATTTATCAGGATATCAATTTTAGCTGACATAATTTATCAGGATATCAATTTTAGCTGACATAATTTATCAGGATATCAATTTTAGCTGACATAATTTATCAGGATATCAATTTTAGCTGACATAATCTATCAGGATATCAATTTTAGCTGACATAATTTATCAGGATATCAATTTTAGCTGACATAATTTATCAGGATAGCAATTTTAGCCGACATAATTTATCAGGATATCAATTTTAGCTGACATAATTTATCAGGATATCAATTTTAGCCGCCTTAATTTACAACCATGTGTATTTACATAGATATCTTTCACAATCAATGACAAATTTGCTAAAACCATTTGAATCTTTTTAATCAAAACTTGATATCAGTAAAGATTTGAACATATTGCTCAATGTAGATATCAAAGTAGAGTTGGATTTAGGATTCATTAATAGATTTTTCTTCTTTACAGTAAACAGGAAATAATTTTAACTAAATTTTCTGATTTTTTATCATGTTAACACTCACACTTAAGTCCTAAAGGGCATCAACCTATCAAAAGATAAAAGACCCCTAGAAAGGGCAGATAACTCACTTGAGATCGTCCACAAGCATAGTGTTTATCAGTTCCTTAGCGTCTGGTGAGATTCCTGCGAAGTATTCATCAGGAAAACAGTAGTCTGTACGTACAATGTGGGCACATGTCTCCTCGTGACTCTCATCTAGGAATGGTGACACTCCACTCAGAAGGACATACATGACAACGCCCACACTCCTTTAAGTCAAAATCCACATATATAATATTAAAAATACAATGGAAGTTTTAATTATGAAATGGTGACACCTTTACTCTGAAGGCCATTCATGTCAAAGTAATGAAAGTACTGAAATTTCTTGCTGTGTACAACTTCTGTGGCAACATCTTTCTGGGACAGATGTCCTTGGGGAAGTCAATGTCAAATATTACCAATCAAAATACAGAAAGGAATGAAATATTGAAAAAAATAAATATAATGGAAAGGTGTCACTCTGAAGAACGTACAAGACCGCTTCAAAATATCTTTAATTATCAAACTCTAATGACTCATGTGTGTTTTAATTCTAGATACAACAGAACAGAGTGATCTAGCACCACACAATACCAACCAGATATCTGTGAGGAGTCCCACTGGAGATCTTCGGATGATTTCTGGAGCGAGAAACTCCGGACTTCCAGCCACGTTATGTATATAATAGTTATTGTAGATGTGGCGTGCGTCACCAAAGTCTATTAGTTTCAGTCGTGGTAATGGCATCCCACTATCAACCAATAGGTTTTCAGGCTGTTGATGTAAAAATCATAAAAAATTCCATTTTCTCAAACCCATGATTCCGAATCATTCTTTATATATAGAAAATTTGATTTCCATTCCAGTTTCAATTAGGATATATCTTCAATGATTAAATTCCTTATAGATTATTTTTGAAAATTTGATCATTTGAAGGAAAGGATTTATTGACAATTAGATAAGCTAATTTCACCTTGACTGCAAGGGCAAAAGTCTGAATTGGCACCCAGGAATTTACCTTGACAATCAGGTGAGCCAATTTTACATTGGGACCCTTACTTTGCCACCAATATAAGCTTTCAGTGGGACATTGAGGTAAGTTCATTTTACCTTGACATCCAGGTAAGCTTAATTTAACATCCAGGTAAGCTTAACTATCCCAGGTAAGCTTAATTTAACATCCAGGTAAGCTTTACCATCCCAGGTAAGCTTAACTTAACATCCAGGTAAGCTTTACCATCCCAGGTAAGCTTAACTTAACATCCAGGTAAGCTTTACCATCCCAGATAAGCTTAATTTAACATCCAGGTAAGCTAATTTTACCTACCTAGATAAGCTTAATTTAACATACAGGTGAGTTTACATTACCTTAACATCCAAATGAGCTATGCGACAGTTGTGAAGATACTGAAGAACGCAGAGAAGTTGTCGGATATAATAAGCTGCCTCAATTTCATCAAAATGTGGTTTGTTACAAATGTAATCAAACATCCTTCCCATTGGTAAACTGTAACACAAACATCGTACACAGTAACAAACTTCACCTACATACTCTAAAATATGAACAGCAAAGAAATCAACTAAATGTTCAAAATTTGTGACCTTGAATTTCAGACAAAGTCCTTTCGTTTTGCAAACTTTTCTGACATTCCACCTTTCCAGTCAAGAATTATAATTCTAAGCCTTGACTCGCTTGGTCCTTCTGGTAAGGTGAGTTGAAAAAAAAATTGTCAACTAAATAAAAGTATATGTATTGCATTTTCAATATTTGTAAAATTTTAAGATATGAAACATGATATACAACCACTGGATTTTAAAGATTTATTGATGATAAAGGGAAACAACTCCAGATGAGATGTATAACTTGGTACTAACTGCCTTAAATAGCCTTCTGTACAATTCAGTTTATAGGTGTAAATCACTTACTGTTCCAGTATGATGATAAAGTTTGTAGACGTTTCATAGAGATCAAACACTTGGACTAGATTCTCATGTTGAAGGGACTGCAGTGTGTTAAACTCTGTTTCTACAGCTTCACGAGTTGCTATTCGCCTATTCATAAACTTGGCAGAAAGCTCCTGATTGGAGCACTGCTGTACACATTTACGGATCACAGCGTAGCGCCCCCTGGAGAGTATAAAAAAAATAATTTTGTTCTCCTTTTTCTCTCTGTATTTCCCTGTCTCTCTCCCTCCCTCTCCTTGTTTCTCTCTCTCTATTTCTCTTTCCCTCTCTCTCCCTTCCTTTCCTTGTTTCTATCTCTCTCCCTCCTCTCTCCCTTCCTGTTTCTCTCTCTCTCTTTTTGTTTCTCTCCCTCTCTGTTTCTCTCTTTCCCTTTCCTTGTTTCTCTCTCTCCCTGTCTGTTTCTCTCTTCCCCTTTCCTTGTTTCTCTCTCTCCCTCTCTGTTTCTCTCTCTCCCTTTCCCTCTCTCTCTCCCTCCCTGTTTCTCTCTCTCCCTTTCCCTCTCTCTTACTGTTTCTCTCTTTCCCTTTCCTTGTTTTTCTCTCTCCCTCCCTGTTTCTCTCTCTCTTTTTCCCTCTCTCTCCCTCCCTTTCCTTGTTTCTCTCTCTCTCTTTCTCTTCCCTCTCTCTTTCTCCCTTTCCTTGTTTCTCTCTCTATCTCTTTCCCTTCCTTCTCTCTCTCCCTCCCTTTCCTTGTTTCTCTCTCTCCCTTCCCCCTCTCTCTCCCTCCCTATCGGTTCTTGATATTTCTTTCTTGCTCTACTTCAAGAAATATATTTCCTTCCTTCTCTTCATCCTTCCTTTTCTTCTCTCTCTCTCTTTGCCTCTTTAGGCTTTCCATCAATCTTTCTCCTAGCTCTAATGTATTCTTCATATGCCATCTCTCTCCTGACTTTTCCTGCCCCTAAATACCTGGCTATCTCCTCCACTTGTGAAAAGTCGTTATCAAACGTGGTCTTCCACACAGCCATACTACCCTCCTCACGTTCACTGAGCTCTGAAAGACAACATGAACAAATCTTTAAAATCTATATTCATTTGTAAGAAAAATCTTTCCTTATCTGTAAAAAAGTCTTTGTTTCTTTTTACTTGTAAGAGAAATCTTGGTATATTTATAGGAGAAATGTTTATGTATTTGTATATTAGTCCTGACTTTTTTAGAGAAATCTTAGTTTATTCATTAGAAATGTTTATTTTATTTTGTAAAAAACAATACATGTTTATTTGTAAGAGAAATATTTCCTTTCACAAATAAGTTTAGGACATAATTCTATCGGCATTGACAACGTACCATACTCTGTTGGAATAAGGATTGGGTCAGATGGCATACTGGGATCACTCATGCCAACGCTGTTGTTGGCGCTGACCCGGAACTGGTATGAACAGCCAGGGGTCAAATCCCCTATCACCTGCGACGTGTTTGGAACGTATGGAATGGCTGCCTGCCACGTCTCATTACCTGTAATAAATGGATTAGTATCTAGTTTGGAGAAGTTCATGTTTTGTTAAAATACAAAAGTAAAAGTCAAATATTAACTCACACAAATAATTCCAATGTCTTTGTTTCAAGATGGGATCATATTATCTGTACTTAATCTTTCCCTCACACCTGTAATTAACCTTTATTCCTGTAACTAACCTTCCTTCCACCTGTAATTAACCTTTATTCCTGTAACTAACCTTCCTTCCACCTGTAATTAACCTTTATTCCTGTAACTAACCTTCCTTCCACCTGTAATTAACCTTTATTTCTGTAACTAACCTTCCTTCCACCTGTAATTAACCTTTATTCCTGTAACTAACCTTCCTTCCACCTGTAATTAACCTTTCCTCACACTTGTTATGAATCTTTTCCTCACACCTGTAATTAACCTTTATACCTATAATTAATCTTTATATCTGTAGTTAACCTTTATACCTGTAATTAACCTTTATACCTGTAATTAACTTTCCTTCCATCTGTAATTAACCTTTATACCTGTTATCAACTTTATATCTGTAAATAACCTATTCACCTGTAATTAACCTTTATACCTGTAACTAACTTTCCTTCCCTCTGTACTTAACCTTTATACCTGTAATAAACTTTCCTTCCACCTGTAATTAACCTTTATACCTGTTATCAACTTTATACCTGTAATTAACCCATTCATCGGTAATTAACCTTTATACCTGTAATTAACTTTCCTTCCACCTGTAATTAACCTTTCCTTACAGTTGTAATTAATCTTTCACTCACATCTGCAATTACCCTTTATTCCTGTAACTAACCTTCCTTCCACCTGTAATTAACCTTTATACCTGTAATTAACCTTTATTCCCGTAACTAACCTTCCTTCCACCTGTAATTTACCTTTATGCCTGTAATTAACCTTTCCTCACACTTGTTATGAATCTTTCCCTCACTCCTGTAATTAACCTTTATACCTGTGATTAACTTTCCTTCCCCCTGTAATTAACCTTTCCTCACACTTGTTATGAATCTTTCCCTCACACCTGTAATTAACTTGTCGATACATCTGTATTCGTTACCTGCTTCCCTGAATTCCAGTGTGTATCCCTGTATCTGACTGCCATGACTAGCGATGGTAGGGGGAGACCACTCTAGATGTACTGAAGTCCCCACTTTATTTCTGATCATTGGTTTAGTAGGAGCTCCTGGTCGGTCTGCATGTTAATACAGAAATAGCATTTTAATGAATAACAACTATAACAAGAGATCCAAGAGGGATCTTGGAACCCATTGTCATTCGATCTTTATTTGATCTTATTTGATCTTTAAAACCTGGATCTTCTTCCTGAGTTTGCTCTTCATTTTATAAAATTTGATAATTCTTCTTAAGAAATAACAATCTTTAACTACCAAATCCAAGGTAATCACCTGTCAGCCATCTTCTTTTTCTGATCAGTCAGAAGGGCACAACTAGGGACTAAGGGTAACCTACATATACAGTTTGTGAAAGATCTATCCAGTACTTCTTAAATAGTGATAACAAACCTTCATTGTCAAAATCAAGATAGCCACATGTCAGCCATTTTGTACTCTCTGGTCAGTGCTAAAATCAGTCACAACTAGCTGGGGTTTCATTATCGTTTCATTGAAAAGGTACTTTATTAGGTTCAGGAGTTTCTGGGCCATCGGCTAAGACATAAGCTGTACTACACATGGAGGGCCAATAGCCCCTGCTGGGTTGAATAAGTTTTTGGCTAATGCCATGTTGAATTAACATTATACTAGTATTGTGCTTTTGTAAAAAATTGAAAGAGATGTTTCATTTGGTTGTACAACTAAGACAATAACAATGTTGAATAACATAACATTTTTTATGTGTGCATTACAATATAATTGTCAATGTTCAAAACCAGCTTCAATGGGTAACCAACGACAAAGTGCATCATGTTCATGTTTAATTCATCAAAAAAAAAAAAGGAAAAAATTACAGCCATAACCTAAAATTGTTCTTGTCATTTTTAAAAAGATCGTATACAATGATAAATTTATCACTTAATTGCTGTTAAGTCACTTGCCTATCAACTACTTCAGAAGCTTAGATAGGTTTTTCTTAATTGGTCCTCAGTTACCAGGGGGCAAAAAAACTCGACACAGGCAATTTGAAAAAGAACCACTTCTCCAGGAATGGTAATAATTAAAAAAATAGCTTAAGGACAAACAGTCCACAGATATTGGGTGATTTGAATAGCCCACCATTTAATGATGGCAGGCTAACAAATGACTAAACATCTCAGTAACACATAATTGTTTTTATCATTATTTTTCATTTCATGTTTATTTGAATTAACTTGAACGTAATATCAGTAAGTTTGATATCAGAAAAAAATTTCAGAATAAACACACTCACCTATGACAGTCAGTACAGCAGAAGTGACCACAGTCCCAACTTCACTAGTGGCCTTACAGACATACTCCCCAATATCTGTCATTGACACGTTGTTTATCTACAGATGAAACAGTTTGAAGCGATAATGTACAAAGTTTTTAAAACAGTGACTGTAAAATACAAGATGGCTGCCAGTTAATTATATTTTTCTGACCAGTCCAAAAAATTGTTTGGCCACACCTGAAAGACTGACCACACCTGTAGATAGACCACATTTGTAGACTGACCACATTTGTCGACTGACCACACCTGTAGACTGACCACACCTGTAGATAGACCATATCCGTAGACTGACCACACTTGAAGATAGACCATATCTGTAGACTGACCACACCTGTAGATAGACCATACCTGTAGTCTGACCACACCTGTGGACTGATCCTACCTGTAGTCTGACCACACCTGTAGACTGACCTCACCTGTAGACTGACCACACCTGTAGACTGACCACACTTGTAGATTGACCACACCTGTAGATTGACCACACCTGTAGACTGACCACACCTGAAAGACTGACCACACCTGTAGATAGACCATACCTGTAGACTGACCACATTTGTAGACTGACCTCACCTGTAGACTGACCACACCTGAAAGACTGACCACACCTGTAGATAGACCATATCTGTAGATAGACCATACCTGTAGACTGACCACATTTGTAGACTGACCATACCTGTAGACTGACCACACCTGTAGATTGACCACACTTGTAGACTGACCACACCTGAAAGACTGACCACACCTGTAGATAGACCATATCTGTAGATAGACCATACCTAAAGACTGACCACACCTGTAGACTGACCACACCTGTAGATTGACCACACTTGTAGACTGACCACACCTGTAGACTGACCACACCTGTAGACTGACCACACCTTTAGATAGACCACATTTGTAGACTGACCACATCTGTAGATAAACCATACCTGTAGTCTGACCACACTTGTGGACTGATCCTACCTGAAGACTGACCATACTTGTAGACTGATCACACTTGTAGACTGATCACATCTGTATAATGGCAACACCGACCATCTGTAGGCTGATCCTATGTGTAGACTGACCACATCTGTAGACTGACAGCACCTGTAGATAGACCATATCTGTAGACTGACCACACCTGTAAATAGATCACATCTGTAGACTGGCCACACCTGAAAGACTGACCACACCTGTAGATAGACCACATTTGTAGACTGACCACACCTGTAGACTGACCATACCTGTAGTCTGACAGCACCTGTCGATAGACCATATATGTAGACTGACCACATCTGTAGACTGACCATACCTGTAGTCTGACCACACTTGTGGACTGATCCTACCTGTAGACTGACCACACCTGTAGACTGACCACACCAGTAGATAGACCACATCTGTAGACTGACTACATCTGTAGACTGACCCCACCTGTAGATAGACCATATCTGTAGACTGACCACACCTGTAGATAGATCACATCTGTAGACTGACCACACCTGTAGACTGACCGCACCTGTAGATAGACCATATCTGTAGACTGACCACACCAGTAGATAGACCACATCTGTAGACTTGTCACACCTTGTAGACTGACCCTTTCTATAAACTGATCATATCTTGTAGACTGACCCTACCTGTAGTACTGCGATGCCCTCCTCAGTGTATGTCATACTGACATTATGACTAGGCAACATCTGTATGGTTTCTTGGAAACACCAGCTGATGTTGGGTCTCGGACGTCCACATACTCGACAGGTCAGTATAGCTGTGTCCCCTGCCTGGACTGTTACATTTACCATTGGCTGATAAACTGTGGGCGACATCTCATAAAGCAGGTCTGAGGGCGAAATCTGTGACCAAAATTAACATCAGAGAATATCCTTCATTAAGAATTCTATTTAAGATTCAGGAATTCCCTTTAGTAACAATGACAAAACAGGGAATCTCCTACATTAAGAATTCTATTTTAGATTCAGGAACTCCCTTTAGTAACAATGACAAAACAGGGAATCTCCTACATTAAGAATTCTATTTTAGATTCAGGAATTCCCTTTAGTAACAATGACAAAACAGGGAATTCTTCTACTGTAATTGTATTCTTATTTAATCTAAATTCTTAAATAAAAAAAAATATATATATTAACAGTTTTTATGTTTTCATAATCAAGGCTTGTTCCTTTCCTAAAATTTACTAAAATGTACTGTGTTTCTGTAAGTTAAGACTTTCGTTTTCAAAGACAAAACAATATTATACTTCAGCAGACTTGATAAAGTATGACATCTTTCAGATTTATTAATTTTTATTAATTTTTCCTCCATTGATAATATGTCTGACCTTTGACCTCTCCCTGGTGAGGGGCAGTGTTCGTGACTTCCTATCCAAACTTGCTGTACCATCCATTGGACGACGCTCTGGTCGCAATCCTTGCATACGTAGCTTAAACAACTGCCAGGAACTTTTCCTGCAGACAACAACAATCATGTGAAAAATCCTACTTAAAAAACAAAATTAGGATGGCCTTAAAACTTAAATGAGTGATGACTAGATAATGGGACAACCAGATTAGTGGTGACTGGATAGTGGACAAGCAGATTAGTGGTGACTGGATAGTGGGACAACCAGATTAGTGGTGACTGGAAAGTGGGACAAAAAATTAGTGGTGACTGGATAGTGGGACAAACAGATTAGGGGTGACTGGATAGTGGGACAACCAGATTAGTGGTGACTGGATAGTGGGACAACCAGAATAATGGTGACTGGATAGTGGACAAGCAGATTAGTGGTGACTGGATAGTGGGACAAACAGATTAGTGGTGACTGGAAAGTGGGACAAACAGATTAGTGGTGACTGGATAGTGGGAAAAACAGATTAGGGGTGACTGGATAGAGGGACAAACAGATTAGTGGTGACTGGATAGTGGGACAACCAGATTAGTGGTGACTGGATAGTGGGACAAGCAGATTAGTGGTGACTGGATAGTGGGACAAGCAGATTAGTGGTGACTGGATAGTTGGACAAACAGATTAGTGGTGACTGGATAGTGGGACAACCAGATTAGTGGTGACTGGAAAGTGGGACAAACAGATTAGTGGTGACTGGATAGTGGGACAAACAGATTAGTGGTGACTGGATAGTCAAAAACACAAAACATTACATTTCTTTAGATGGAAAGTACTTCCTCTGATGAGCCTTACCCCAGAAGCTTCTAATTCCCTAGGGCTGGGGATAGAGATCTCCAGCAATGAAATTATGTTATGGGATGGTAATTTCAATGGCTCCAAAGACGTAATCTGTTCTGGGGTGGGACTAGACCCCAGGACAAATTACTAGTTATGATCATGTTTATCTCCTGATGCTCAACAATGCTTTAGTTATTCAGTGGGGATCACAGCTGTTTCAAAGAACCAAAGATCCAAATGAATTGTTGATGGTGCAAAGCAATGATATGAAATTGAACTAAATCTACTTGGGGGGTTAGATTTGTCTGTCGGGCCCTGCCCATCTGGCCTCAGGGGCCAAAACATTTTCTACCAAACTGATTTCCCTTCACCCAAGCATGCTCCAGAACAATTTTGGAAAATATCCTGAAATTCCAGAAGAAGAAGATACATTTTATAGAAACTTATTAATTTTCCCTATTGGCAGCTACTTCTCTAGCCCGCGAAAGCAGAGACCCACCATTCATACAAAATTGATTTCCTTTCACACAAGCATGCTTCCAAACAATTTTGGACAATGTCCTGCAATAACTTAGATTTTAAAGAAATAAACAGATTTTCTCCATTGGACCCCACCCCTCTTGTACCTGGGGGCCAGGATTTTTGTTGGCATTTGCATTCCGCACATTATGTCATGACATCACTGTGAATCTCCATTTTCATTGGAGATGTTGGGCCTATTGACCAATGGAAGTTTCAGTTCTTGTTCTCATCTGACATTCTTGAGATAATGAGCAGAATGCAAATTCAACGTGGCATCCGTAACCGCCATATTGGATATTGGGCGGTGATGAAAAACAAAAGGGTTGTATAGGTCAATAGGCCCAACATCCTCAGTGAAAATGGTGACCACAGGTGTTGTCGTTCTTGAGATAATGAGTGGAATGCAAATTTAAGATGGCGCCCGTAACTGCCATATTGGATATCGCGCGGTGACGAAAAACAATAGAGTTGTGTAGGTCTATAGGTCCAATCCCCAGTGAAAATGGTGATGACCAGTGATGTAGTTTTTAAGATAATAAGTGGTATGCAATTGTAGACGGATGAGCAGACAGACAGATGGACGGACGCCGTGCGTGAATACCCCACATCCTTTCAGGCTGTGGGGTAAAAAACTGATTTGCCTTCATCCAAGCATGTTTCAGGCAACTTTTGGTCAATATCCTGCAATTCCTTAAGAACAGGATAAATTTTAAAAAATTCATAGATTTTCCCTGTAAGGCCCCTACCCTTTAGCCCCAGGGATCCACCATTTATACAACACTGATTTCTCTTCATCCAAGTTGACAGATGCCGGGTAGACGACAGACACCATAATATCCCTATAGCCCACTCTGCCCTTTGGGCCAAGTGAGCTAAAAATGCTGCTTTTATCGCCGACCTCTAAATCTACTTACCTCAGGCTTCCATCTCCATCCCTCGGCCCGATAGCGTAGCCAGGAATCCAACCTTCTGCAGCAGGAGAGTTCTTATTGGCTGGACGATGAACAAAGAACATGCCTTGTTGATTGGATGACATCACCTGGATGATTTCACCGCGAAGAACTGTAACTTCATCTTCTTTGACAGAGTTGTAATCGCAAATAACCTTTCCAACGTGTACCGTTTCTCCGATAGGCTGCCACAGAAATATGAGAAAGGACAAATCTAATATCGCCTATATATTTTAGTTTATTAACAGCTGATAACTTTTTAAATTTTGCTGCAGGAATGATTTCAAAATGTAATTAAATGTTTCTAACAAGTAGTGACTTGTCAAAACCTTTTCAAAATGATAGAAAAATTTTGGATACTCAGAATTTTGATTTTAATCTCTTTTTCAATTTGGAAACATTTCTTGACATTTCTTAAGAAAACTCCATCATTTATTACCCCTTTTAAAATCAATAATCTCAATCATTTGCATTCAGGAATACAACATTTGGGAAAAATTTATTCTGTACTCTTAAACAAACAGTGATAACAAATTTCCATCGTTAAATTTCCAAAATGGCTGTCAGTCCACCATTTTGTTTTTCTGATCAGTCCAAAAATGGAACGGGAGCAACCATAGAGTAAGGGGAACTTTCAGTGATTTAAATATCAAATGCAAGATGGCCACCTGTCAATTATATTGGTATAGTTTCTGGTCTTGGAATTTCATAATTATACAACTTAAATGCTTTTTACATTTTCAATTTTGATACAGAAAAGTTTGGAAAATAAAAACAAAGGACTTTGAATGCAATATCATCACTTTTATGATTTGTTTCAGAAAAGACAGCAAATTGAAAACTTATTGTTTTTACCATTATCAACTATTAACTATTTGTTTTTTTCTAAATATATATTCTTTAACCTCACCCATTTTGCTTCACTGGAAAATATCCGGAATTACAAGGCTGTCCTGCTTGAAGGTTTAAGTCATTTATCTTATTTATGAATCCTCAATATACCTTTTTGTAAAAAACTTACTTGCACTCTTTTTAACAAAAAAAATGTTTTGTAGAGACAGAATGCAACACAATGCCACATGCAATAGAAAAAATCCTGGTTAGTTTGCTGATCATTTAAACAAAAGATAAATTAACTGTTTTATAAAATTAAAAAAAAAACAACAAAAAAACAAAAAAACAAAAAAAGTAGCGACATGCATCTACTTCTAAACAATCAGAAAACGATGACATTGATAGCAAGGCGAATTAGTTAAGTATGCATAGCATGGCAAAATAATCGTTTACCAAAAACATAAAAATGAACAGCTTTTCAATATTTGTGAGATGTGCTATCACAGATGAAAAATAAACAAATGAAAAAAAAATACAATTAAAAGAGATCAAAATCAAATTTGATATTTTTCATAATTCAAAGTTTGTTATGACAAATTTACAACAGCAAAAAATAATGAAATGATATTAACAACAGATTTACAAATATTATTGTTCACATATTTCCAAAAAAATAATTGACAGAAATTTTAATTTGCTCCACACAAAAGCCACCAAACTACACACTATTTAAGAAAACAGTAAAGTCACTTGAGTTAATTACCATTAATGTGCCTCTTCAAAGGTGGAAATCTTCATAGGTCTTGTTGTACAGTTAAGTTGTCTCCTCTTGTTTTCAACTTTCCTCATGTGTTATCTCCCTTCCATCTGAGTTTCACTTTCACCACTTTTATTTTGTAAACAATATACATTTATCTAACTTTGTTTGTTTGTTTGTTTATCAGACATTATAGACTCTATATATTGTGAATTGTATTCATCTTTCAATAACATTATTTCACCTCAGTAGGCAATGGACAAAGTTAGCTCAATCCAAGGATGACATCTAGAAGTTTGTTATTCTTTGACAAATCCAGATCTCAATATATTGGGAATTATTGTTGGGAAATGCATACATGGCTTCCTTTTTAAATGACAACTGAACAGATTTATTTTCCTGTAGCAAACACAGAAATACACTGATAAAGTGGTGGTATAATTGATATTTTGTGTATTTTCAAAGTAGTTACCATAACCAGGATTTTTTTAATATCAGCTCAATTTTATGTTACTTAGTGCCAACTTTTTAAAAAAAATTTCCAGAGTAATCCCCCCTTACCATGATTTATATTGAGCGAGTTATGTTATTATCATGGTGCTTTAATAACATTTTTGAGGAAATGAAAAACAAAACATTTTTAATTAGTAAATAATGATTATCAACTGTGAAATGTTTCCTGTTGATAGTTATAGATCTCTATTGGACGAGGTGACTATGATAATGTGCTGAGTGTTTCACAGTATGTAAATACATCTAGGTGCAAATTGCAAAATCTACAAAAATGCAGGTGCCCATTTTTACGATAATGTAATATGGTGAATCTGATAATGGGGACAGGATTAAGATATGATAAACAAGATCCCTGATCAGTAAAAAATAATGGAGACAGGATTAAGATATGATATACAAGATCCCTGATCAGTAAAAAATAATGGAGACAGGATTAAGATCTGATAAACAAGATCCCTGATCAGTAAAAAATAATGGAGACAGGATTAAGATCTGATAAACAAGATCCCTGATCAGTAAAAAATAATGGAGACAGGATTAAGATCTGATAAACAAGATCCCTGATCAGTAAAAAATAATGGAGACAGGATTAAGATATGATAAACAAGATCCCTGATCAGTAAAAAATAATGGAGACAGGATTAAGATCTGATAAACAAGATCCCTGATCAGTAAAAAATAATGGAGACAGGATTAAGATCTGATAAACAAGATCTCTGATCAGTAAAAAATAATGGAGACAGGATTAAGATCTGATAAACAAGATCCCTGATCAGTAAAAAATAATGGAGACAGGATTAAGATCTGATAAACAAGATCCCTGATCAGTAAAAAATAATGGAGACAGGATTAAGATCTGATAAACAAGATCCCTGATCAGTAAAAAATAATGGAGACAGGATTAAGATCTGATAAACAAGATCTCTGATCAGTAAAAAATAATGGAGACAGGATTAAGATCTGATAAACAAGATCCCTGATCAGTAAAAAATAATGGAGACAGGATTAAGATCTGATAAACAAGATCCCTGATCAGTAAAAAATAATGGAGACAGGATTAAGATCTGATAAACAAGATCCCTGATCAGTAAAAAATAATGGAGACAGGATTAAGATCTGATAAACAAGATCTCTGATCAGTAAAAAATAATGGAGACAGGATTAAGATCTGATAAACAAGATCCCTGATCAGTAAAAAATAATGGAGACAGGATTAAGATCTGATAAACAAGATCCCTGATCAGTAAAAAATAATGGAGACAGGATTAAGATCTGATAAACAAGACTTTATTTCTTGACTTTGTTATAGTGGACACTTTCTCTTAATTGTCTGTAATATACAAGCATTGGATAGATACAGCTATTGAATTCTGCCTTTTCTACTTCAGCTAGTCTGTAGATCCGTCTATTTATACACATATATGGCACATGTGCATAGCCATAGGTGTAGGATTACATGGCTGATCGACATTTACACATGGATGTGTGTTCAATGATCCTACACCTATGTCTTCACACAGCACAGACATCATGTATGACGATTTATATATGTCATGAAAAAAAGGCATTTGCTCCAGACTCACACCTAGTTCATTTATATACCTCACTGATTGAATAAATACACTGTCAACATTGTATACCTTACTGACCCAATAACTACACTGTAAACATTGTGTACCTTACTGACCCAATAAATACACTGTCAACATTGTATACCTTACTGACCCAATAACTACACTGTCAACATTGTATACCTTACTGACCCAATAACTACACTGTCAACATTGTATACCTTACTGACCCAATAACTACACTGTAAACATTGTGTACCTTACTGACCCAATAAATACACTGTCAACATTGTATACCTTACTGACCCAATAAATACACTGTCAACATTGTATACCTTACTGACCCAATAACTACACTGTCAACATTGTATACCTTACTGACCCAATAACTACACTGTCAACATTGTATACCTTACTGACCCAATAACTACACTGTAAACATTGTGTACCTTACTGACCCAATAAATACACTGTCAACATTGTATACCTTACTGACCCAATAAATACACTGTCAACATTGTATACCTTACTGACCCAATAACTACACTGTAAACATTGTATACCTTACTGACCCAATAACTACACTGTCAACATTGTATACCTTACTGACCCAATAAATACACTGTCAACATTGTATACCTTACTGACCCAATAAATACACTGTAAACATTGTATACCTTACTGATCCAATAACTACACTGTCAACATTGTATACCTTACTGACCCAATAACTACACTGTCAACATTGTATACCTTACTGACCCAATAAATACACTGTCAACATTGCATACCTTACTGACCCAATAAATACACTGTCAACATTGTATACCTTACTGACCCAATAACTACACTGCTGATATTATTTCATGGATCCAATAAAGAAGCTGTCCACATTTTCACATCAGAGTTATATGCAACAGATGTACTTGCAACTTGCATTACTCTTAGTATGAAAGGAAACCAAAATACATGAAACTAGAACACCTATGTGGTCTACAAAATGTCTCCATTCATTTTCATGTCAGATTGGGAAAGTCCTGGTCATAGCTTGACTAGGAGTTAATATTCCAGTATACAATTTTGATTTGTGAGTTTACTGAATCAGTGTTTTTAACACCACATACATACCCTCAATCATTATTATTTTATAAACTGAGAAAATTCTTCATGAAAAATTCTAAATATAAATTGACCAGGTAACCTTCACTATGTTATGTGTAAGGTCAAATTTGTAAAATGGAATAGCTTATCAGGTAACCTTCACTATGTTATGTGTAAGGTCAAATTCATACCATAGAATAAATGTACCAAGGTACACTGAACACAATAAACAGTTTGGTAACAACTACACAGCAATGTTTTAAAAGTGAAGACAGAAAAACCAACTGATACCATAATGAAGAAGTTCTCAGTATTTATCTTTTTTTATCCCCATTTCTTTGATTTTTGTGGGTTTTTTTTTTAAATCGCATGATCACAGATTTTTGCCCCTTATGTGGTGTTCACACAATCTTATAGGTAGTACTCACACACTGAGGCAGTATTCACACATACAATGTATACTTTCTGTATATACAATAATAAGTAACTTTATTAGAATAAAATGATGCATTTATCTCCAGTATGTAATTTGATTTATTCATTTAAATTTAGCTATATAATGATCAATTCTTTTTAACATATTACTACTTCTGGCTTCAATACAAAAAAACCTTAGAAATGTTAATTTTAATGAAATGTTTTTAAAATAAAAATTCTGTAAAAATATATAAAGGAAATTTCTTATTTGTTGTTGAAAATTTACATCTCAAGATTTGGGTATTTCTATTAGACTTAACAAGTATCAAGCATATGAGGAGGATGAGCTTAATTTAGAAACAAATATTGCAACCTATATTGTACAGTTTTGGTGATGTGAACCAACCTTTTGATCAGCAACACTACAAGTAAGTAAAAAAAAATCCACATTTTTGTATGTCTAGTTTAAATGAACGCCATTGAAAAATGAGCTGATGAGCAAATCATAAATTATACATACACTTTTTTATAACAAAAATTATTATTATAAATATGACTGCAAACAAACATTGTAAATCAAATATCACATTGTTATTTATATTTTTTACACACACTCTCTTGCTCTCCTATGGCTAGAGTTATCTCCCTTCTAGGATGGATGATCTCCCTTTAGTATTCAATATAATGACTCCCTATATGGCTAGAACATTCCTTGATTTTTAACCATTAGATTTAAACTTTGAGACACCATATTTCAAATCATGTGACCTTTTCATTCATTTGACATATGAACTTGGAATCTAACCTAATTGACTATCTAAATCTCTAATGAAATATTGATAAAACTATTGTGTACATTATACAAAGTGTAATGAACTAATCAACAATCACTCTTCATCATGTTTCATTTTCTCTCATACTTTTTTGATAAAATGCATGAAACACTCATTTTTATCACTTGCATGACTTTCTAGTATATTTATATATGTCTATATATGGATGAAACCACATGCTAGTGGATATTTCTATATATTTATTTGTATATACATCTACATTTAAATTCATTAAATCAGCCATGGGAAGCCTTGATGTCCTTCTGCATAATCAACAGGCATACAATCATAGTGTCAATATGTTTTCTCTGTGTACAGCAGTAAACAGTTCCATTACAAGGCTATCAATGATTAAGATTATACATTCCAAATCTCTGTCAAACATATGCTTGTTTAAATTATACAAGCTCACTTTCGACTGAGAATATACAAATCTTTGTTATATTAATGCTTGTTTATATCATATCAAACGAGCTCAACAATGACTCAAAATACATGAAGTTTTGTCATATATGCTTGTTTTTTTAATAGTTACAAGCTTACCATTGACTCAGACAATACACATATAAATCTTTGTTAAACAAGTGCTTGTTTAATATACACAAGGTAGCATTGGTAAAATTCACTAAAATTCTGGTTTCAAACTTTGAGATCTGAATCCTCTTATCATCTGACTATACAGTATTTCATTAGTAAATATAAATAAAAAATGTTGGAAATGGTGGGATTCACATCAATGTTAACACAGTCACCTTCAGCTATTGCACATATATGTTAAGTCTGAACAACAATATAAACAACTAAATCCGACATTTTCAAAACAAAATCATAAACAAATTATCTAATTATGATCAGTTAATAAGACATGAAAACATTTGTGTTAAATTCCTCCATACTGATAAAATCCTTCATACCAGTCACAAGAAATGGACAGCACTTCATATAGGTATACATATTTAACACATGAAACTTTCCACTGATATCAAGCTGAACTTCTTTGCCTCTGAATTTGTATTAAAATAAGGAGGGGAGATAACTGCATGCTTACAAAGACGCAAATTTCGTTTCTCAGCTGATTGTAAATTTAGAAAAAAATCTTGTAGTATAGAAATTTTGAAGTAAAATTGTAGACATCGATATCATTCCTTCTGAAACACAACATCTTTCATAGGTATTTTATTGAATCTGTACTCCTACTGCAGCAGCCTAACAGCAGTATAGAAAGAATGACGTGCATACCAGCCAATCATGACTTTAATAACTTACATGACATCATAAAACATAAGTAACTGTTAATATTAATTATGTTCACCGTATCCAACTCTGCCTAACTGAAGCAAGTACACACAGTACTTAGTAATTAGTAATATTCCAAGCACATCACTTTTGAATTTTTTTAAGCTATGGTTGATAATTATTCATTATGAGGGTCTAAACTTCCTAGGATTATATTTGGTATATTGTATGCTGATTATGTACTGAATACAACATTTCTCCCACTCTTGATTGTCAGCTCAAACTTGTTTAGCAATACTGATATAGCAATTACCTCTGTACTAGTTTAATAGGATATATCAGCACTACTGAAAAAAGAAGTTGGAAATACACTGTCTATATACATGTACAATATCCAAACTTACAATTTATACCACAACATGGATGTAAACATCTCAACTGTTTACATAAATATCTGTAAGGTGTAAAGGGTTAGACATTTTAGAGATTACAAGAGTTTGTGTGCCTGGTGTAAGATATACCTAGTTTACACTCTCAATTTTTCTAGGATTTCTTCTATTCTAAGTTATAGTGTTTGCACCAAATGCCAAAATTATTCATTATTTTAATACTGACATATAATATTGTTTTACCAAAACTGTCAAGTTACTGTAAATATATTGTATTAAAAGCAAACTATCGATTCATTGCAAACAGCAATATAAACCTGATCTATTTATGCTTCATTATACACTGAGTATAAATTGAAACTCTACTTCAATATATATCAAAACTATACTGCAATATAAACAGAACTGTTCTGCAAGATATACTGAAACTGTACTGTATTATACACTGAAACTGTACTGTATTATACACTGAAACTGTACTGCAAAACATTTAATAGACTTATCATGAAAATTATTGAAATGTTTCTTCAGTGGATACCAGACTTTTTAACTATTTTACTAAAAGGTTCTGACATATCACACTTAAGAAGACTCATTTCACATTTCATTTGTCCATGCATGAATAAATTTGAAAACACATTTCCACCCATAGTTCAATTCGGCTTTGGAGCGTTCTACCTATGATTCATTGCAACTTTGGAAATTTACCCACAATTCATTGGAATATAGATTTTTTTATTGCCATTATAGCTCTTACCTATAATCTATTGAAGTCTCAATAATGTACTTTTATGTACATTTGATTCCTAACTATTAAGAAGAACACTATTGACACATCTGGTGTTAATCCACGTACTACTCATGCACTACTGCTTTCTATACTACAAACAACATGCTGTAAAAATGTTAACTTAGAGTCAATACACTGGCTGAGCCTCAATATGTTTTCCTTTAAAGCAACTTTTGGTGAAAATATCAATCAATAAGGTACCCTTATATAAAAGTCATAAGATCATTAACTATTCCTTTCAAATTAACATTTTTCTGTTTGGAGTAATTCTTTGAATTTTTTCCTGAAAGTAAGACTCGTAATTTAGCATACTTTAAACTCTTAAATCCAATTTCTATTTTCAAAAGAAAATAAATTTCTAGCGATAACATTAAACATAAACTAGAATGATCTACAGATCAGTATTTTGTGCAGCTTTGAAGTGGGATTTCAATGGTAATTTTAAGTTCAGTTGAATGAAAAATTACCAAAAAAAACTGACCAATATTGAAACAAAAACAAGTTGATATTGGTTCTACTATATACTAATAAGATAACTGGACTGACATACTAACTCGAGTCATTTGGAATAGCTTTTTAAACAAAATATTTGCTCTCTTTTCGTATTTCATTATTCAATAATTTAATCCTAAAACCAAGTGATGATTGACATCAAATCAAATCCGATAAACAAAGTTTTTACACATGTATCATTTTCAAATTATGTTGATTTGATTTCAACACAAGACTGTTAAAGTGACATCATCTGCAACCACTGAGAAGCTTGGTTTGTACATCTGAGTCAATGAAATACTTTTTTTAACTTTCTTTAAAAGATGATTTGATGAATGATCCAATTCCAAAAGAAGCTTCTAAAAAAAAAAGCCATCAATCATGGTCACAGTGTGGCTTGTATTGTATGGCTGATTATACTGTATGGCTGATTAACATTAACACATTAACAATTTTCTCATTCATGCAAATTGTATTCAAATTGTTAGATCATTCCAGACAAAACACATATTGTTTTAATCTGTTCTATAACAGGCATCCACACATCCAAGAGGGCCATACTGTAGAAACTAATGACACACATGTGGAAGGTCAAGATTTAGGATCCAGAGACTGTTACTATACTGATCCTCAGTTACAGCGCAGGAACTACGAAGAATACACGGTACGATGCAGTCACTATTCACGAGAAAAAAATGCAGTCTTGACTCACACGAGTAACAAAGTACATGTAGTGGATTTGAAGTTCATGAAGACAAGAATTCTATCCATAATCTTTGAGCCAAGAACAGCTTTGTAACGTTAAATATCCGCCCAGTTTACAAACAGGGTTTGAAACTGAGTATATTTTCCATCTATTACAGTTTTTTCTGCCAAACACACATTTCCTATGCTGAGAACAGTTTTCTGTACCAGGCAGGGTCTTTAAACCCTGCGTGGTTTGTTCGCACAGTGTTAGTACAGAGTACGAATTCCTTATTGAGTACGAATTCCGCAGCAAGTACGATTTCCGTAGCGAATAGGACCTCATTAACGGAGAAGACTAATGGACTATATGGACAGAAGAACACAGATATACGGGAGCATTCAACGATATCATGATGCTGGAGAGTTGTGTGAACTTACCATACTGCTATCACCGTCCCCCGAAGAAACTCCATCACTAGGGCCCCCAAGGGGGGGCAACTCTCGAGAATTAGTCCTATTGTAAACAACATCTGGGCCACTACCACCAACCATTTCTGTCCTTGTGCCCATAGGAGTGTCACTCTTTGATTTCTTTGTAATAAAATGTTTAGGTTTAGGTGAGGGTTCCCCCATGGGGGGCCCCTGTGGGGAACTTTCTTGATCACAGTTACTGGGGGATATCGTGGAGTCTTCTGCTGGCCCTGGGACTGAGCGACAACGCGAGTACTTCTGAGAATCCGACATCTGGTTTTTCATTTGGCCACTAGGTGGCGTGTGAGAGCGGGAGTTGTTATCTCCTTTAGAAATTGGTTGAGGTTGTGACTGCATCTTCCTGAGGTGCTGCTCTCTCTGGGGATTACCAAGATCTGGTGCAAATCTAAAGAGCAAAGAGAAAAATTTGTACCTTTATGTGACATTATTTTCTAAAGAAAAACACTTTCCTTTTTTCAAACCTTCATATCTTTTAAGACAATATGAAATTATTCCAGAATGAATCTTAATCCTGTGTGATGTAATTATCTCCCCTATACTGACCCTGTCTGATGTGTGATGTAATTATCTCCCCTATACAGACCCTGTCTGATGTGCGATGTAATTATCTCCCCTATACTGACCCTGTCTGATGTGTGATGTAATTATCTCCCCTATACTGACCCTGTCTGAGGTGTGATGTAATTATCTCCCCTATACAGACCCTGTCTGATGTGTGATGTAATTTTCTCCCCTATACTGACCCTGTCTGATGTGCGATGTAATTATCTCCCCTATACTGACCCTGTCTGATGTGTGATGTAATTTTCTCCCCTATACTGACCCTGTCTGATGTGTGATGTAATTTTCTCCCCTATACTGACCCTGTCTGATGTGTGATGTAATTTTCTCCCCTATACTGACCCTGTCTGATGTGTGATGTAATTTTCTCCCCTATGCTGACCCTGTCTGATGTGTGATGTAATTATCTCCCCTATACTGACCCTGTCTGATGTGCGATGTAATTATCTCCCCTATACAGACCCTGTCTGATGTGCGATGTAATTATCTCCCCTATACTGACCCTGTCTGATGTGTGATGTAATTATCTCCCCTATACAGACCCTGTCTGATGTGTGATGTAATTATCTCCACTATACTGACCCTGTCTGATGTGTGATGTAATTATCTCCCCTATACAGACCCTGTCTGATGTGTGATGTAATTATCTCCCCTATACTGACCCTGTCTGATGTGTGATGTAATTTTCTCCCCTATACTGACCCTGTCTGATGTGTGATGTAATTTTCTCCCCTATGCTGACCCTGTCTGATGTGTGATGTAATTATCTCCCCTATACAGACCCTGTCTGATGTGCGATGTAATTATCTCCCCTATACAGACCCTGTCTGATGTGCAATGTAATTATCTCCCCTATACTGACCCTGTCTGATGTGTGATGTAATTATCTCCCCTATACAGACCCTGTCTGATGTGTGATGTAATTATCTCCCCTATACAGACCCTGTCTGATGTGTGATGTAATTATCTCCCCTTTACTGACCCTGTCTGATGTGTGATGTAATTATCTCCCCTATACTGACCCTGTCAATGATAAACTTCATGTTTTTAAGGTGGAAGCTATGTTTTTTTCATACCTGAAACAAGCAGAGGCAGAGGAATTGTGTGTAGTGATGTCCCATGCTTATCATTATTATATATCGGAAAGAATTCCTGCTGCAAGTGCTAAGGATCTACTGAAGGGATTTCCAACATTTAGTGTAGAACTTGACAATTGATTTCTTGATCAAAATACTGACAATCCTATTCTGTAATACACTGTAAGCCCTGGGGAGCCAAACTTGATTTTGACCCAAAGAACGGGTTTGGTTTTCTGTAGGGTTGAAACAATGTTTCACTCACTGAAATGTAACAAACATGGGTTTGAGTAGTTACTGAACACATGATATAGACTTTACTTACAGCTCCTTGGTGATGTCTTCCTGGTACGCTGTGGGATTAGCCAGCCCTACAAATACACATTATTGTCTTTATCATCAGACATCAAAATCAATCTATATAATATGAATAAGAAAATATGCAGACAAAGACACACTTTTACACCTGTATTCCAAATTGATTGATATCACCAAGAGGTCAATAAATATAGCACACATGTGCTAGTACTTATGACTTTTCAGAGTTAGTAACAACATCCTACATCAACATCACCTGAAAACAACAGTGTATATCAAGTTTGAACCAAAACTGATCATTCACCATCCTCTGGTGTCTGGTCTCTGGACTGATCATGTGACTAATGAGATATATCCCAGTGTATCATGTTTCTTGTAAACAGCTTCACCAACATTGATATAATCTAAACCATCAAACAGTGTAGTTACGAACAAAGAAAATTCTACGTACGATCTCCAAAGATCTTCTGGAGCTGCAAACTGGCAGAGATGTTTCGTATCCAAGTTTGTTTAATATCTAAGGTAGGGGCTTGTAGTATGAATTGAGTTGTGGAGCCTGGGGCTCGGTTAATTAGCATGAATCTTAGTGGCTCTCCTGGTTCCACATCCTCCTTCAGTGCCATTTTATTTACCTGTAAACAACAATCCATCATTACAATAAAGTCACAAAAATCTTAGGTTACAAACACAATCTGTTCCAGAACAGCTTAAGCAAAGGTTTGTCAGAACATTTGTGTCTATTCAGCTAATTCAAGCCAGTGATTCAAAATTTGCCTTTTATTTTTCTTGACCAACTAATACCAAAACAAGATTTGTTTGTACTAAAATTTCATGTTAAGCTGTTGATCAATTTGATTAACCATGAAATAATCAAAAAAAAGAAAAAAACTAAAAAATATGAATAGGTAATTAATTGAACCAAAATTGACAATGTATATGGTTCCCTTGAACGTACATTGAGATAGTTTTTGTACACGTAGTTGGGGTTAGATAGGGTGCCACGTCGTCTCTCTGTCATTTCACTGAATATCACACTCTGTTCAAATAAGAAGAGACGTCGCTCTTTGAACTTTGGTTGACCACTTCCTTGGACCTCAGCTACTAACAATGTGTCCTACAACAAAGGGAGACAATCTTTTGTAAACTGGGGTGAAATATTTGCAAATAAGCCAATCATACGAAAACATTATCATATGTCAATAAAAAAAAACAATCAATGATAATCTGGATAAGTATTTTGATATTACCTGCAGAAGTAGTTTCCCTTGAGCAGTAATTTTTCCCTGAAACAGAAAGTGACTATTATGATTGATAGATACATACAATTTAAAAAAAGAAAGCAAATTCTGCTGGCATTTTTTTGGAATCTAATACTATCTTTCATGCCCCCTCACACACTAAATCGCTCAACTTGTTCCCATTTAATCAAATTCTTATATGAGTTCCCTTTACATTTAACAGTCAAAGTTGTTCCCACTAATTAAACAAGAGGCCCATGGGCCTTAACGGTCATCTGACAAAAAGCAAGCCAAACCTAGAAAGTGGGTTGAGGTCATTCATTTGAACAAACTTGGTAGCCTCTCCTCCAAGCATCTTACAGGCCCAATATCAGCACTCATGGACTTTTGCTTGTTGAGAAGAAGTCGTTTGTATATTTTAACATATTTGACTCCTGTGACCTTGAAAGTGGGTCGAGGTCATTCATTTGAATAAACTTGGTAGCCTTTCCTCCCAGCATGCTACAGACCCAATATCGGCACTCATAGACTTTTGCTTATTGAGATGAAGTCCTTTGTATATTTTAACATATTTGACCCCTGTGACCTTGAAAGTGGACCAAGGTCATTCATTTGAACAAACTTTGTAGGGCTCCATGCCAGCATGCTATGGGCCAAGTATTAGCCCCCTAGGCCTTCTAGTATTTGAGAAGAAGTTATTTAAATATTTTAACATATTTGACCCCTGTGACCTTGAAAGTTGTTCAAGGTCATTCATTTAAACAAACTTGATAGCCCTTCATCCCAGCATGTCACAGGCACAATATCAGCAATCTGAGCCTTTTGGTTATTGAGGAGAAGTCGTTTAAAGATTTTAACATATTTGACCCCTGTGACCTTTAAAGTAGGTCAAGGTCATTCATTTGAACAAACTTGGTAGAGCTCCATGCCAGTATCCTCTGTGCCAAGTATTAGCCCCCTAGACCTTCTAGTATTTGAGAAGAAGTTGTTTGAATGAAAAGTTTATGCACGGCGGACGGCGCATGGCGGACGACGACGGACGAAGCACGATGTCTATAGGTCATCTTGACCCTTTGGGTCAGATGACCTAAAAAAAACCCTCCCTCAATGCCTGGATCCATGAATATGATATGCCACATTTAAATCAGTCACACATAGGTACTCTTGTTTACATTTAAACTCCTGTAGGTTCAATACTTATATTAAACATTAAAAATCCCCCCCATTGATGGAATCAGACTTATGCCAGACTTATATTAAACCCCCTTGATGGCCTCACTTACTTAACTCTCCTGTTGATGCTAGACTTTTATAAAACCCTCTTGATGGCCTCACTTACTTAAAATCCCTGTATGTGTCAGATTTACGATAAACCCCCTTGATGGCCTCACTTACTTAACTCTCCTGTTGATGCCAGACTATCATTAAACCCTCTTGATGGCCTCACTTACTTAAAATCACTGTAGGTGTCAGATTTACGATACACTCCCTTGGTGGCCTCACTTACATTAAACCCCTATAGGTGCCAGACTAACACTAACGCCCTGTAGGTGTCAGACTTACATTAACCCCTGTAGGTGTCAGACTTACATTAAACCCGTGTAGGTGTCAGACTAACACTAAAGCCCTGTAGGTGCCAGACTTACATTAACCCCTGTAGGTGTCAGACTTACATTAAACCCTTGTAGGTGCCAGACTTCCATTAAACCCCTGTAGGTGCCAGACAAACACTAAAGCCCTGTAGGTGCCAGACTTACACTAAACCCTTGTAGGTGCCAGACTTACATTAAACCCTTGTAGGTGCCAGACTTACATTAAACCCCTGTAGGTGCCAGACTTACATTAAACCCCTGTAGGTGTCAGACTTACATTAAACCCCTGTAGGTGCCAGACTTACATTAAACCCTTGTAGGTGCCAGACTTACATTAAACCCGTGTAGGTGTCAGACTAACACTAAAGCCCTGTAGGTGCCAGACTTACATTAACCCCTGTAGGTGCCAGACTTACATTAAACCCTTGTAGGTGCCAGACTTACATTAAACCCTTGTAGGTGTCAGACTTACATTAAACCCCTGTAGGTGTCAGACTTACATTAAACCCCTGTAGGTGCCAGACTTACATTAAACCCCTGTAGGTGTCAGACTTACATTAAACCCGTGTAGGTGCCAGACTTACATTAAACCCCTGTAGGTGCCAGACTTACATTAAACCCCTGTAGGTGCCAGACTTACATTAAACCCCTGTAGGTGCCAGACTTACACTAAACCCCTGTAGGTGCCAGACTTACATTAAACCCTTGTAGGTGCCAGACTTACATTAAACCCCTGTAGGTGTCAGACTTACATTAAACCCGTGTAGGTGCCAGACTTACATTAAACCCCTGTAGGTGCCAGACTTACATTAAACCCCTGTAGGTGCCAGACAAACACTAAAGCCCTGTAGGTGCCAGACTTACACTAAACCCTTGTAGGTGCCAGACTTACATTAAACCCCTGTAGGTGCCAGACTTACATTAAACCCTTGTAGGTGCCAGACTTACATTAAACCCGTGTAGGTGTCAGACTTACATTAAACCCCTGTAGGTGCCAGACTAACACTAACGCCCTGTAGGTGTCAGACTTACATTAAACCCCTGTAGGTGCCAGACTTACATTAAACCCCTGTAGGTGCCAGACTTACATTAAACCCCTGTAGGTGCCAGACAAACACTAAAGCCCTGTAGGTGCCAGACAAACACTAAAGCCCTGTAGGTGCCAGACAAACACTAAAGCCCTGTAGGTGCCAGACTTACACTAAACCCTTGTAGGTGCCAGACTTACATTAAACCCCTGTAGGTGCCAGACAAACACTAAAGCCCTGTAGGTGCCAGACTTACACTAAACCCTTGTAGGTGCCAGACTTACATTAAACCCCTGTAGGTGCCAGACAAACACTAAAGCCCTGTAGGTGCCAGACAAACACTAAAGCCCTGTAGGTGCCAGACTTACACTAAACCCTTGTAGGTGCCAGACTTACATTAAACCCCTGTAGGTGCCAGACAAACACTAAAGCCCTGTAGGTGCCAGACTTACACTAAACCCTTGTAGGTGCCAGACTTACATTAAACCCCTGTAGGTGCCAGACTTACATTAAACCCTTGTAGGTGCCAGACTTACATTAAACCCCTGTAGGTGTCAGACTTACATTAAACCCCTGTAGGTGCCAGACTAACACTAACGCCCTGTAGGTGTCAGACTTACATTAAACCCCTGTAGGTGCCAGACTTACATTAAACCCCTGTAGGTGCCAGACTTACATTAAACCCCTGTAGGTGCCAGACAAACACTAAACCCCTGTAGGTGCCAGACAAACACTAAAGCCCTGTAGGTGCCAGACTTACACTAAACCCTTGTAGGTGCCAGACTTACATTAAACCCCTGTAGGTGCCAGACAAACACTAAAGCCCTGTAGGTGCCAGACAAACACTAAAGCCCTGTAGGTGTCAGACTTACATTAAACCCTTGTTGGTGTCAGACTTACATTAAACCCCTGTAGGTGCCAGACAAACACTAAAGCCCTGTAGGTGCCAGACAAACACTAAAGCCCTGTAGGTGTCAGACTTACATTAAACCCGTGTAGGTGCCAGACTTACATTAAACCCCTGTAGGTGCCAGACTTACATTAAACCCTTGTAGGTGCCAGACTTACACTAAACCCTTGTAGGTGCCAGACTTACACTAAACCCCTGTAGGTGCCAGACTTACATTAAACCCCTGTAGGTGCCAGACTTACACTAAACCCCTGTAGGTGCCAGACTTACATTAAACCCCTGTAGGTGCCAGACTTACATTAAACCCTTGTAGGTGCCAGACTTACATTAAACCCCTGTAGGTGTCAGACTTACATTAAACCCCTGTAGGTGCCAGACTTACATTAAACCCCTGTAGGTGCCAGACTTACATTAAACCCCTGTAGGTGTCAGACTTACATTAAACCCCTGTAGGTGCCAGACTTACACTAAACCCTTGTAGGTGCCAGACTTACATTAAACCCCTGTAGGTGCCAGACTTACACTAAACCCTTGTAGGTGCCAGACTTACATTAAACCCTTGTTGGTGTCAGACTTACATTAAACCCGTGTAGGTGTCAGACTAACACTAAACCCCTGTAGGTGCCAGACTTACATTAAACCCGTGTAGGTGTCAGACTAACACTAAACCCCTGTAGGTGTCAGACTTACATTAAACCCGTGTAGGTGTCAGACTAACACTAAACCCCTGTAGGTGCCAGACAAACACTAAAGCCCTGTAGGTGCCAGACAAACACTAAAGCCCTGTAGGTGTCAGACTTACATTAAACCCCTGTAGGTGCCAGACTTACATTAAACCCTTGTAGGTGCCAGACTTACATTAAACCCTTGTAGGTGTCAGACAAACACTTAACTCCTGAAAGTGCCAGACTAACACTTAACTCCTGAAGGTGCCAGACTTACATTAAACCCTTGTAGGTGTCAGACAAACACTTAACTCCTGAAAGTGCCAGACTAACACTTAACTCCTGAAGGTGCCAGACTTACATTAAACCCTTGTAGGTGTCAGACAAACACTTAACTCCTGAAAGTGCCAGACTAACACTTAACTCCTGAAAGTGCCAGACTAACACTTAACTCCTGAAGGTGTCAGACTTACACTAAACCCTTGTAGGTGCCAGACTTACATTAAACCCCTGTAGACGCCCAACTTGCATCATATCGTTGGCCTCCTTTGGTACATTACACATGACGACCATTGCAGCTTGTAATGGTTTAGTATCCTGTCCAATTCTCTCAGTGTGTTTCTGTATGTCCTATAAAATAATTGAAAAGAAATTACAGCAAATTACAAGAATTTACCACAGAAATGAATGCGAACCACAACCAACATGTTTGAATTAGCAAAACATTTACCTTGGATTTCATACAATAAATTCTGCCTTTATCCTTATAAATTTGTCTGTGAGATATATAGCCTGAATGTATCACTGCCCTGATGGTTAATATTACTGTTACAATCATCTAGTATCTCTGCCCTGATGGTTAATATCACTGTTACAATCATCTAGTATCTCTGCCCTGATGGTTAATATCACTGTTACAATCATCTAGTATCTCTGCCCTGATGGGTAATATCACTGTTACAATCATCTAGTATCTCTGCCCTGATGGTTAATATTACTGTTACAGTCATCTAGTATCTCTGCCCTGATGGTTAATATTACTGTTACAATCATCTAGTATCTCTGCCCTGATGGTTAATATTACTGTTACAATCATCTACATTTTAAGTAATGAATCCCACAATCAGCAAAATGTTCTTAACCTGACAAATATTGACCTATATCCAAAAAACGAATAATTTTGTCAAAATTATTTATGACTAAAACTTCTAAACGGTCTTCATAAAAAAATAGACAGCACTTTATTTTACATAGTAAAATATGACACATTTGAAAAATTCAAAGCTAACTGTTGTAAATAAAATTTGTCATAAAATTCAAATTGTCTAAACCCTGACCTTGAGCAAGAGTTGATATTTCATAATTCTCTGTACTGGTTTGATCAGTAGGTCGGGCAGTTGGAGACGGTGACCTAATTTCTGGCGGATTTCCTACAACAAAAGAACATAAGATCCATTTCAAATTAACATTACCTGCATAAACGCTAGAATCCCCTTGTAAAGTTATCAGTATCTAATATAGTCAGAATCGTGTTCAAACAGAACAAAGGATATCTTCTAAATAAATATAGATTTGATGACTATACAATAAAACTTATTGTCATGTCTTTTTCTTTGATGACAAAACACCCTATGACCGTTAATTTTGAGGAAATATGATAAAAGTATAGCCAAATTGACTACAGTACATTGTTACCATCTGCTGTATTTTCCCCCCTTATAATCTGTTTACCATCTTGTCACACTATTTTTCGACCTTAGTGTCCATAGGATTATAGCGCAGCCAAAACAGTTGGTTGATTCCGTACCATCTCGTACACTACGTACATCAGTGCTTGTACACTCTACACTGGTCATTTTGTCTGATGAAGGTGACCGTGTAGTCATTGAAACATCACACTCTAATCTTCTACTGGTTGTGTTATAAGATAAAGGTGACCGTGTAGTCATCAAAACGTCACACTCTAATCTTCTACTGGTTGTGTTATAAGATGAAGGTGACCGTGTAGTCATCGAAACGTCACACTCTAATCTTCTACTGGATACATTATAAGAACTTCTATTCTATAAGGCATTGGCTGGCAATATTGGTTAAAATTGATGGAAACTCTAAGCATCAGGACAGATATATCCATCCACTCACCTCAAAATAGTCATCAAGATGCTCTGCTACAATGTAATCCGACTTTGGTTTATTTTCACAGTACTTTACATACATCCGTAGCTTACGTTCCTAGAGAAAAAAAATTTAATTTAAAATTTCTTTCTCAAAATTTATGTTTTAGACATCTTTTTTGCATAAGAACTAATTGTTTTCTTTTTCAAATTTTACATATGAATTTTTTAAAAGAACTGAAAATAAATAATTTGTTATCAAGAAATTGCTGTCACCTCAGAGAGAGGATTTAGGGGTCTCCAATTGCTTTTCTTTTTTTCTAGCAAAATCAGTGAGATATGATACAAAGCTAAATCTGAAAAAAGTTACTGATGTACGGCTTGACTTAATTCTTTTCTCAATTGAGTCTACAACTCATTGCAGAGTCTACAACTCAATGAAGAGTCTACAACTCAATGCAGAGTCTACAACTCAATGAAGAGTCTACAACTCATTGCAGAGTCTACAACTCAATGAAGAGTCTACAACTCGATGCAGAGTCTACAATTCAAAATGCTGAGTCTACAGTTGAGTTGAATGTTTTTATCAGGTGATCATCGAGTTTTATATTGCGTCTACAGGCAAATAGCAAAATATATTGACATTCTAAAGATTGCAAGTATGGAAAGGGAGATAACTCACCTGTGTTGAAAATATGGAGCCTAGTCGTTCTGGTTCTTCTAAGCATTTTTCTAGAGCTGGTTGGAAGGTCCTGCTCAATGAAAACAAAGTCATACAATTTTATTCACAAATTGTATAAATTCTACTGTTAACAAAGAACCAGATGTAGGAGTGACATGAATGCCCAAAAATTACCAAGGAGAATTTTGAATGTTTTAATGTTATTTGCTTCAACAAGAGAAATGCTCATGACTCTGGAAACAAAATTAAAGGCCTTTCTGCAAAATCTATGGAATAAAATAAAATCATGAGAAGACTTGGGCATCAATCCTAAACATTTAACACAATGGCATTAGAAAGGTGATTCTCTTTCTTTTAAAAATACCTTTGTAAAAACTTCCATGTCAAATCTGTTTCTACTTTTGTATTTTTTCTAAAAATATTGTTTTGGAGTTAACTCTAAATCTGATCTGATTTGTTTAACGTTTGACTGAAATGTCTACCAATAGAAATACACTTTTCCAATACAAGTTCTATTTTTATACAATAGGATTTATTTTGCGTGGTCATGTGACTTACAGTCTGTGGAAGTCGTAGATCTGCCCAATGTTACCAAACACAACATCACTGATGCCCTTCATACTCTCGGGAATTGGGTTCTCACTCATGTATGCTTGGTAACCCTGACAACACAACAGGTTAAAGGTCAGGTTAAAGGTCAGACTCGGCACAATCCTTTGTCATTAGTTAAACTTAGCAGATCTATAACTAAAATCAGTCATATTCTTTAAATTCACACAGAAAAAAAACTCTCCGCTGAGGAAGATTTTGTTGAAAGAATTTATTACTCAAGTTTCGGTTTACCTCAAACTTAAAACCCTTTCTTTCCAATACAGGTGAAGATTACCTCAGCCTTGGTCTATCGGTTATAACTATAAAGATTTCAATATATTTGACATCTGTGATCTCAAAAGTGAGCCAAGTTATTTGAACAAACAAGCAAGGCAGCATTTCCACCCTATAATGCTACAGACTAAATATCACCACCCTGTAATGCTACAGACTAAATATCACCACCCTGTAATGCTACAGACTAAATATCACCACCCTGTAATGCTACAGACTAAATATCACCACCCTGTAATGCTACAGACTAAATATCACCACCCTGTAATGCTACAGACTAAATATCACCACCCTGTAATGCTACAGACTAAATATCACCACCCTGTAATGCTACAGACTAAATATCACCACCCTGTAATGCTACAGACTAAATATCACCACCCTGTAATGCTACAGACTAAATATCACCACCCTGTAATGCTACAGACTAAATATCACCACCCTGTAATGCTACAGACTAAATATCACCACCCTGTAATGCTACAGACTAAATATCACCACCCTGTAATGCTACAGACTAAATATCACCACCCTGTAATGCTACAGACTAAATATCACCACCCTGTAATGCTACAGACTAAATATCACCACCCTGTAATGCTACAGACTAAATATCACCACCCTGTAATGCTACAGACTAAATATCACCACCCTGTAATGCTACAGACTAAATATCACCACCCTGTAATGCTACAGACTAAATATCACCACCCTGTAATGCTACAGACTAAATATCACCACCCTGTAATGCTACAGACTAAATATCACCACCCTGTAATGCTACAGACTAAATATCACCACCCTGTAATGCTACAGACTAAATATCACCACCCTGTAATGCTACAGACTAAATATCACCACCCTGTAATGCTACAGACTAAATATCACCACCCTGTAATGCTACAGACTAAATATCACCACCCTGTAATGCTACAGACTAAATATCACCACCCTGTAATGCTACAGACTAAATATCACCACCCTGTAATGCTACAGACTAAATATCACCACCCTGTAATGCTACAGACTAAATATCACCACCCTGTAATGCTACAGACTAAATATCACCACCCTGTAATGCTACAGACTAAATATCACCACCCTGTAATGCTACAGACTAAATATCACCACCCTGTAATGCTACAGACTAAATATCACCACCCTGTAATGCTACAGACTAAATATCACCACCCTGTAATGCTACAGACTAAATATCACCACCCTGTAATGCTACAGACTAAATATCACCACCCTGTAATGCTACAGACTAAATATCACCACCCTGTAATGCTACAGACTAAATATCACCACCCTGTAATGCTACAGACTAAATATCACCACCCTGTAATGCTACAGACTAAATATCACCACCCTGTAATGCTACACAGACAAAATATCACCACCCTGTAATGCTACAGACTAAATATCACCACCCTGTAATGCTACAGACTAAATATCACCACCCTGTAATGCTACAGACTAAATATCACCACCCTGTAATGCTACAGACTAAATATCACCACCCTGTAATGCTACAGACTAAATATCACCACCCTGTAATGCTACAGACTAAATATCACCACCCTGTAATGCTACAGACTAAATATCACCACCCTGTAATGCTACAGACTAAATATCACCACCCTGTAATGCTACAGACTAAATATCACCACCCTGTAATGCTACAGACTAAATATCACCACCCTGTAATGCTACAGACTAAATATCACCACCCTGTAATGCTACAGACTAAATATCACCACCCTGTAATGCTACAGACTAAATATCACCACCCTGTAATGCTACAGACTAAATATCACCACCCTGTAATGCTACAGACTAAATATCACCACCCTGTAATGCTACAGACTAAATATCACCACCCTGTAATGCTACAGACTAAATATCACCACCCTGTAATGCTACAGACTAAATATCACCACCCTGTAATGCTACAGACTAAATATCACCACCCTGTAATGCTACAGACTAAATATCACCACCCTGTAATGCTACAGACTAAATATCACCACCCTGTAATGCTACAGACTAAATATCACCACCCTGTAATGCTACAGACTAAATATCACCACCCTGTAATGCTACAGACTAAATATCACCACCCTGTAATGCTACAGACTAAATATCACCACCCTGTAATGCTACAGACTAAATATCACCACCCTGTAATGCTACAGACTAAATATCACCACCCTGTAATGCTACAGACTAAATATCACCACCCTGTAATGCTACAGACTAAATATCACCACCCTGTAATGCTACAGACTAAATATCACCACCCTGTAATGCTACAGACTAAATATCACCACCCTGTAATGCTACAGACTAAATATCACCACCCTGTAATGCTACAGACTAAATATCACCACCCTGTAATGCTACAGACTAAATATCACCACCCTGTAATGCTACAGACTAAATATCACCACCCTGTAATGCTACAGACTAAATATCACCACCCTGTAATGCTACAGACTAAATATCACCACCCTGTAATGCTACAGACTAAATATCACCACCCTGTAATGCTACAGACTAAATATCACCACACCTTGTAATGCTACAGACTAAATATCACCACCCTGTAATGCTACAGACTAAATATCACCACCCTGTAATGCTACAGACTAAATATCACCACCCTGTAATGCTACAGACTAAATATCACCACCCTGTAATGCTACAGACTAAATATCACCACCCTGTAATGCTACAGACTAAATATCACCACCCTGTAATGCTACAGACTAAATATCACCACCCTGTAATGCTACAGACTAAATATCACCACCCTGTAATGCTACAGACTAAATATCACCCTGAAACTACTCGTTGTTGAGAAGATTTAAAATTATTTTAACATATTTTGACCCTATGACCTACCTAGAAATGGTACTAAGGTCATTCTTTTGAGAATTCTTCATTTAACATGCTGTAGGCCAAATATCACAACCTTCGTGCTCTCATATATCTATAGAAGCTCTAAATAGATATTAATACATCTGCCCCCTGTGACCTTGAAAGATAACTAGGGCAAGTCATTTAATTATTACACCAGACAGCTCAACATGCCAGAACTGCTAAAGATGAAACCATTTTGACTCTAAAAATCAAGGGAATGTTACAGCTTTATCATGTTTGACCTCTATGACCTTCAAAGTAGGTCAATATCTAAATATATAACCATGCCTATTGGATAACTTACCTCCACTATAGAACCAAGGTCTTTAACGTAATCTCGTTCTGTATCAATGAGTTCTTGTATCACAAATCTATCCAGGAAAATAAAATTATCTAAATGTGATAAAAAGCTCTACATGTGATGATAAAATAGGATAAAATCATTACAAATGTATATACAGGAAATTTACCCATCAATAGAATATTTCAGAAAACAGTGAAGACGAGGCACCCAAATCATGTCAATGTTTTCATTAAAGTGAGAATATACAGTAAAAACCACTTTGGTTTTTTTGAAACACCAATTTCCCCCCATCTACTCTAAGAAATTCAAAATCTGATAATTTCACATACATTCTGAAGCAAAAAGTTATGACCATTTCCCTGAAAAGTATAGAAACTCCACCTTTGACCAACATATAATGACAAAATGCTGAACACAGCGGACTAGACAACTCGTTTTGACCTACTTTCGTTTCTGTATTGCCTTTTGTTGTTGTTCTTGGCTGGGTTCTATAGGTTGATCGTTCCCAGTCTCTGACCCTGAAGATCCAGGCTGTTCAGAGTTACAGTCCCCATTAGGGTCCTACAACAGAACATTTCTTTAATAAAAATATTTAAAAAATGACAAGTTCACAATTACATTTACCTTTTTATCTAAAGAATATCTAGCTGCTGACTCTATCTCCAACACTCAAAATTTTGATCATGTTTATTTATGTGATTTTTTTACTTTCCTTTTTCAAACAAATCCAAACATAATTGATACAACATTTGAGTATAGGGGTCATGATTATAATTATTACTTACAATGCGTTCCCTAACTTTCTGCTCCATTTCCGTCATAACTTCTAAAGCAGGTGGATTTGTCGGATTTAATGACACTGATGCCTAGAAAACAAAGCATGACGATACAAGTGACAACCTCCTGTCACATGACCTTTTTCAAAAGTAATACATGATAAGAAGCTGATTAGTCTTAATTTTGTCAATAGTGATGAAATCTAGTAGAATGGAAAGAAGTGGACAATAGTATTTGTAACAATAGTACAATTGTAAGTGCCTAACGCTAAAAATTTCCACACATGGGACTTGGGACTTAATTGGATTTATTTAAATTATGACAAAAATTTATTTTCAAACACAAGCAACACCTAAAAAGAATGAAATAGACTTGTATCCTTAAACGATAAATTTCCTGTTTTTCTTTTTGATAAATAAAGACCAGTGGTTTATATTTGTAATGGATAAATGCTAAAGTGTATTTTTCAAACATAAAATTGCCAAAGAAAAACTTACAAAATTGGCTGAGATGTCTTCTGGAGACCCTTCCTGTCCAAACAGGGGGCGCTGTAGTTCCATAGGAGGAGGTAACTCTATTTCTTCCTCAATGTCCTCATCTACAGGTTCCTCTAAGTGCGGTTTGGATGTCGTCACCATGGAAACTGTAGACTGCATCTGATCATTTGGCTGTTCATTTTGGTCCTACAAATTAAATTTGAACATTTATAAATTGAACCAAATTTAGGATCAGGTATCAGTGGATAAGACGTTAGATATCAGATACTGATGACAACAAACAAGACAGACAGAAGACATGACATCAACAAGTAGAGTTTGCTGGTATTCACAACATCAACACAAGTAATCAACATAAATCATTTACATTTCGAAAAAAATATTTCAAATATTAGACAATGCAGGACTGTAAAGAAAACAAATCAAATTAGTTTAAAACTTATTTGAAATCAATTCAATTTGTTATAAGAAGGAATGAGTTCTTTTCTGCATCAAACACTTCCCAAACTCATTGCCTCCGCCATAAAAAAATGTTCACTGATTCCATGAAGTTCAAATACTACATCAAGATCCTTGAGCCAGTATGTCACAAGCAACTGACCTAGATCAAGCTCCCCCATTACACTGACCAAACATTCCAGTGATGCAGAACAAACATTTCAGTGGTACGGTGGACCACTTACTTCTATTACCAAGACTAAACAATTTTTGTGATTTAGATTCATTGAGACATCAGTAAATGCCATTCATGTGTGTTACTTTGCATTCATTTTATATACAGAAGAAAATGAATACAGCAGGAATTGAATTAATAGAAGTTTGTGTTAAGATTTGAAAATGATTCGGTGCAGACACAAAGAAACAGAAAATAAAGTTAAAAACAATATGTTTTCCCAACCAACATTTCATCTACAAAACTAATTCATGCATTTTACTTCAGTAATACAAAAAGTGTTTCCAAAGTCTATCTAGAAATGATAGACAGACAGCCAAAGTTCAGAGTACAATGAGAGAGTTCAAAGTACAATCAAGAAAGTTGAAAATGCATCACAATAAGCGGCAAGTTCAAAGGTCAAATGGTGTTTGTTCAAAATATGTTAATTCTGCTATGAGCCTGGGAATAATATTTACAAAGTTATGTTAGTGATGAATTTGATTAAAATTTCATAAAAACTATAACTCTGTTAATTGTGAGTGTATACCTTGAATCTTTCATATTTTGATGTGTTTATATTGGAATGACCTTCAAGCCCCTGTGATACAAAAAAGAACAAGTTCAAGGTCATCTAAAGCTGTGAAATACATAGTTGTAAACTGATTTTTTGTCAGAGAATAAATATTACTAAAACTGTTTAAGTCATAGCATGAAAGGTAAGATGGAAACAATTCAAAATTTTGAAATTTTCTGAACTAGATGACATGAACTAAACATCAGATTAGATATTCTTTATTAACCCATCTTCGCTAAAAAAAAAAAACCAGTTTACAACATTGTCTTAAGATTAATCATCCAAAGTTAAAACAACAAGTAAATTATATACATCTGAGTGAAGTCAACATCAAGACAGAAATATACATGTAGCTCAAAATACATTCTAGTCTCCAAAACCAGAAAAAACAAGTTGGACAAATTAAAGTACTTGTGTGACCTACAAAGTGTGAATGTTTTGTACTGTAATAATTAATCTGACAGTTTTCTTTTGTATTATAAAAAAAAGAAATTAAAGAAAATGGAGAAAATGGAGAAAAATCATCAATTTCATCCTCAAAACGACACATTATAATGTCAGTTCATTATTCAGGTAAGTCATACTATACCGAAGACTGAAGGTCCTGTTGACACTGTTATAGGTCAAAGGTTACGCGAGACAGTAACAATAAAGTATGAATATGGAACAATATGGTTAGAGAAGGGTCAACAACAGGTACGACAGATATAAATAGACACTATAACACCATCACAAGACTAAATGATTTTATCTGCTAGTCAAGAAACTTCATTTAAATTTTGGAAATATCAGATATCAAATATGAATGTGGAAATTACCGAATTATTTAATCGATATCTAGAAGTTCGTCCGCATGGGCAGATGTTTGAGACGACCCTGAGACACAAGCGGACCATGGAACCTCCAGCACCACTTTTATGTAGGCCACTCTCCTCCGAAGTCATCTTGTAAGTTTTTCTTTCATTTGCTACAAATCAACATCGTTTATCAAGCAAGGTCTTCTCTCATTGGTCAATTGAAAGAACTTTCTAGTAGTATGATATATACTGGATATCTACTACAAGATCCATAAGATCTGTCCATTCAATCCTAGGGTTAGGATATCTACCACTTGAGTCGTAAGGATCCTATCATTCAATCCTGGGGTTAGGATATCTACCACTTGAGTCGTAAGGATCCTATCATTCAATCCTGGGGTTAGGATATCTACTGCCCCAGGCCATATGCAATATACCACCTGTTGATCACCATTGCAGTTAATTCAGTAAAGATTTAATGGTCTGTATATTCTCTATAATAACATGCCTCATACCTATCAGACATCAATCATCAGCCTATTCATTGGTTTTCCCCTCATACTTATAAATTTATTTTTCACTCAATTTTTATCAAATTTCACTCTTTTATAACACTTAAACATAATAATTTTCAAAATGAGAAAATTTTTGAAGAACAAAAAATTTTTGTGGAAGAACCTTAGAAAAGAACATGAGTGCGTTTTGACACTTATTCTAAAAACAATGTATATATTAATATATTGGAATCATATCAGATACATTTAAATTGTTAATTAAGATCCATGATCAGGTGTGAACAATCTATTGTTTAAAGACTGTTTCCTACCAGCATACACCTTAGTAACACTTGACCTCCTTAGGGTATCACCATGGTAACACATTACCTCCGCAAACCTCACCATGGTAACATGTTATCTTTTTGTAACATATTTCTATGCATTGTATCAACCACAAACAAAATCTAGCAAAAAAAAAACAAGAATGAAGCTGAGATTTTCTGTGAATAAACTATATCCTCTCTTGTAGACATTCACACAGCAGAAATGTTTTTCTCACAACACTAATCACGCAGTCAGCCAGTCAAAATTCCACACTTTTTACAGGTGAACGCTGGTTAAACCCATCCAGGTAAATAATTTCACAGTATGCAATTATACATACATAATATATCCGTCATCACACCTGTGTCTGATTACCTACAACACCTGTAATACATGGACAGAAAGGCCCTCAGCCGCAGAAACTGTGTGGTTTCACTGTGAAAATTAAGCCCTTGGTCTTGCAAACTTGTCAGTGAGGTTTTACTGTGAAAAGCCCTCAGCTCCAGAAACTTGTCAGTGTGGTTTTACTGTGAAAAGCCCTCAGCTCCAGAAACTTGTCAGTGTGGTTTCACTGTGAAAAGCCCTTAGCTCCAGAAACTTATCAGTGTGGTTTCACTGTGAAAAGCCCTCTGATTCAGAAACTTATCAGTGTGGTTTCACTGTGAAAAGCCCTCTGATTCAGAAACTTATCAGTGTGGTTTCACTGTGAAAAGCCCTCAGCTCCAGAAACTTGTCAGTGTGGTTTCACTGTGAAAAGCCCTCAGCTCCAGAAACTTGTTGATGTTGAGAATCCCTCAGAAACTTGTTGATGTTGAGAATCCCTCAGAAACTTGTTGATGTTGAGAATCCCTCAGAAACTTGTTGATGTTGAGAATCCCTCAGAAACTCGTTGGAATCCCTCAGAAACTTGTTGGAATCCTTCAGAAACTTGTTGATGTAGAGAATCCCTCAGAAACTTGTTGATGTTGAGAATCCCTCAGAAACTTGTTGATGTTGAGAATCCCTCAGAAACTTGTTGAGAATCCCTCAGAAACTTGTTGAGAATCCCTCAGAAACTTGTTGAGAATCCCTCAGAAACTTGTTGATGTTGAGAATCCCTCAGAAACTTGTTGAGAATCCCTCAGAAACTTGTTGATGTTGAGAATCCCTCAGAAACTTGTTGAGAATCCCTCAGAAACTTGTTGAGAATCCCTCAGAAACTTGTTGGGAATCCCTCAGAAACTTGTTGAGAATCCCTCAGAAACTTGTTGATGTTGAGAATCCCTCAGAAACTTGTTGAGAATCCCTCAGAAACTTGTTGGGAATCCCTCAGAAACTTGTTGAGAATCCCTCAGAAACTTGTTGATGTTGAGTGTTGATGTTGAGAATCCCTCAGAAACTTGTTGAGAATCCCTCAGAAACTTGTTGATGTAGAGAATCCCTCAGAAACTTGTTGATGTTGAGAATCCCTCAGAAACTTGTTGAGAATCCCTCAGAAACTTGTTGATGTTGAGAATCCCTCAGAAACTTGTTGATGTTGAGAATCCCTCAGAAACTTGTTGAGAATCCCTCAGAAACTTGTTGATGTTGAGAATCCCTTAGAAACTTGTTGATGTTGAGAATCCCTCAGAAACTTGTTGAGAATCCCTCAGAAACTTGTTGATGTAGAGAATCCCTCAGAAACTTGTTGATGTTGAGAATCCCTCAGAAACTTGTTGAGAATCCCTCAGAAACTTGTTGATGTTGAGAATCCCTTAGAAACTTGTTGATGTTGAGAATCCCTCAGAAACTTGTTGATGTTGAGAATCCCTCAGAAACTTGTTGATGTTGAGAATCCCTTAGAAACTTGTCTGTGAGCTATTAGGTTAAACTACCTTAATACACCTACACAGATACAACATCTGACTTACCACACAGGTAGTTGGTGGTAATTAGGCTTACCTGTACAGGTGTTTATACATATAGGTGTCATCTTACATACAACCTGCTAACGTGCTGATTTTATCTAAATCAATACCATCAATGTCCATAACAGTTTTTATACTTAATATCCATCATCCTTCTTTGTCGTTTCATCAAGTATATCTACATTCTACGATCTATAAATTTTCATCATAACTTAAATTCATCTCTTTGTCAGTGTCAGTAAATGTTTGTCATTCCTAATCTCTTCCATTAGTTGCTCTCGTTTGACTTAATATGAATTTCAATCATTATTCTGCCATCTGTGAATCCAAACTATCAATATGCTTTGATAAGAGAATTTTCATTATATATTTAATCAATATGCTGTCAAAGGTGAATTTCCATCTTAAAAGAATTCCATCAATATACTACCGTCTTTCAACAATTTTTATCAT